CTCTCAATCACCCCCCGATGCTCCATGGTGGTGCAGAAATGGGAATTTGTTCTGCCCCTAAATCCACCCCCGATGCTCCACTAAATGGGAATTTATTCTGCCCCTGAATTCCCCCACAGTGCTACATGGCAGTGGGGAAATGGGAATTTATTCTGCCCCCTAAATCCCTCACTAATGCTCCACTAAATGGGAATTTGGCCCCTCCGGGCTCTGCCAGGGGGGTTGGGGCACCCCAAAATTCCGCGTCCACCACGGCCAGGGAGCATCGAACCCTTCACGGATTTGGGTTTGGGGGGTTCCCCCCCAGCAGCAGCAGCAGCAACGCTGAGACCCCACAAATCCCCAAATTCCCTGCTCAGGTGGGGCTGGGCAGGGCTGGGCGGTCTCGGCCTCGTCCCTCGGCGATGTCCCCGCGGAGGGGACACGGGGGTGGCCCGGGGGGGCTCGGGGAGGGGTCCCCGCGTTCCTCCCCCAGCGATGGGGACAAGGTGGGGACAAAACGTGGGGGGGAAAAAAGCGACGGGAAAAACGGAGAGCGGCCTCCACCACCCGGCCCCCCCCGGCACCCTCCGTGTCCCCACAGCGTCCCCAGCGTGTCCCCGTCCCCGCCGAGCCGCTCACTCACCCGAGGCCGCGCTCACCGCATCCCTGCGGGCCGATGCTCGCACCCAGCCCCCGATCACGCGTGGGCTCCCGCGGGGGCTGCGGCGCATCCAGAGCCGTGAGAGCGGCAGAACGGGCGGGAGAACGGCGGGACGAGCCTATCACCCCCCGGCAGCCCGGCCCCGCCGCCGATAACCGCGCGGGGCGTGCGGGGGAGGCCGCGTGGGGCGTGGGAGGGTGCGGGAGTGCGCGGCCGCCCGGGGAGGGGGTGGCGGTGGCCGCGTGGGTGCCGCGCTCGCCTCTCCCCGGCTCGCTGCTGGCTCAGTCCCTTTCCCAACAAGAGGAGAATTAGCCGGCATCATGACGAAGCAGTATTGGCTGCCGCTCCTCCCGCTTTCCCCGGCACAAAGAGGGAGGAAAACAGCGATAACCCGGCCTGGCAGGGGAATGACCCAGCCCTGGCACCCCCCGACCCCCGCTGGGCACGGGGCGCGGCCGCCCCCGCTCCCCCCGCTGGGATTTTGGGGGGATTTGGGTACCCCCAGCACCGCACGGGGCTGCGGCAGCGTGGGGAGGGGGGGGGGGGGGACGGAACATCCCCCTCAATGAGACCCCCAGGATGGGTCTGGGGGCGCTGCGCCCACCCCTGGCTGTTCCAGGAGGGGAAATCCAGCGGGAATTTCCATCCGCGGCACCGGCGCAGGTTGGGAAGTGCCGGGAATCTGCCACAAGCGAGCGCCGGGCTCTGGAGGGGAGAGCTGAACCCCAAAACCCCAATTTCCCCCAAACCCTGGGGGTCGCGGTACTGCTCAGGGCAGGGCACGGGGTCTGCGGCCGCCTCCATCCCTCCGGGGCCGCTCGGATCGCGGTCCCGGCACCCCGGGATGGGGCTCGGGAGCGGAGCCGCGGCCGGAGGCGCCGGGGGCGGCGGGGCTGCGTTGGTGCCGCAGCGCCGGGAGCCGGAGTCTATTCCCGGCTCTGTGTGGGAGCGCTGCCTGGTGACAGCGGCAGCAGCGCCCGTTCGGGGGCTCCTCCTCGCTGCCTCAGTTTCCCCGCACCCCGCTAAGGAAAGCGCTGCTGGACCCCCCCAAGATGGACACGCAGGGCCTGGGGTGTGTCCGGGGTGCGCAGCTGGGAGGAAGCACACCCAGGGCTGCACATCTGGGGGGATGCAGGCCCAGCAGTGAACATCTGGCGGGGATACAGCCCCAGGGGGATGCACACGCTCGTCCTTCAGAGCCAGGAGCATCCCCGGTGCTGGCTCCGCCGTCCCCCCATGCCCGGGGGGCTCCCCCGGCCCCCGCCGCCCCCCGGGGCCGTGCCCGTGAATCATCGGGGCCGCGGCCGCCTCGCCGCCGCCACTAACCCAGTTTCTCAAGCATGAAGACGATCGCAGCGGCTGCTCGGCGGCTGCCACCTGCGCCCGGGGGCTGCTCCGACTCCTGACCCGGCCGCGGCACCGACGCGCCGGGGGGGAGTTTGGGGGCGCCCCGATCCCGCTCCGACCCACAACGCGCGGTGTTTCATGCACGCACTCAAAGCGAGTGCGGACCGCGCTGGGTCAGGCGGGAGGATGCGCGGGGGGTGCGGGGTGGGGTGCGGGGGTCAGGCCGTACCTTCAGGGGAGCCCATGGCCCGCAGGCAGCGCTGCCCGTCCGCCGGGAGCCATCCCCGCGCCGAGCAGCCCTCCCGCCCCTGCGCCGCACGCGCGTTACCACAGCGACCGCCCCCCGCCCGCCGCCGCACCGGGAGCGGCACCGGGAGCGGCAACCGGGAGAGGCGGGAGCGGCACCGGGGGCAGGAGAGGCCCCGGGGCTCGGCCACGGATGGAGGAGGTGCAAGAGAGTCCTGGGCATTGAGAGAGGGGTGAGGGAGGTGCAGGAGCATCCTGTGGACTCAGAGAGGGATGGAGGAGGTGCAGAACCATCCCCTGGACACACACAGGGATGGAGGAGGTGCAGGAACATCCTTCAGCCTCACTGAGGAACGGAAGAGGTGCAGGACACCCTTGGGAACACCCTGAGGGATGGAAGGAGTGCAGGACAATCCTCTGGCCTTGCCAGGTGATGGAACAGGTGCAGGAGCATCCTTCAGCCTCACTGAGGGATGAGGGAGTACAGGACAATCCTCTGGATTCAGAGAGGGATGAAGGAGGTGCAGGAGAATCCTGGGGGACAAAAAAGGATGGAGGGAGAGCAGGACAACCCTCTAGCCTTGCCAGGTGATGAAGGAGGTGCAGGAGCATCCTTCAGCCTCGCTGAGGGATGGAGAATGCGCAGGATAAGCCCCTGGACACACACAGGGATGAAGGAGGTGCAGGAGCATCCTTTGGCTTCACTGAGACATGGAGGAGGTGCAGGACAATCCTGTGGACACACAGAGATATGGAAGGAGTGCAGGAGAGTCCTGTGGATTCAGAGAGGGATGGAGGAAGGGCAGGAGCATCCTTTGGCCTCACCGAGTGATGGAGAGTTTGCAGGACAGTCCTCTGGACACTCAGAGAAATGGAAGGAGTGTGGGACAATCCTGTGGATTTAGTGAGACATGGAGGAGGTGCAGGACAGCCCTCCAGCCTTGCCAGGTGATGGAGGAGGTGCAGGAGCATCCTTCAGCCTCGCTGAGGGATGACGGAGTGCAGGACAATCCTGGGGACACACAGAAGGATAGAGGGAGTGCAGGACAGTCCTGTGGATTTAGAGAGGGATGGAGGAGGTGCAGAACAATCCCCTGGACACACACAGGGATGGAGGAGATACAAGAAGATCCTTCACCCTCACTGAGGAATGGAAGAGGTGCAGGACAATGCTGTGGACACACAGAGGGATGGAAAAAGTGCAGGACAACCCTCTGGCCTTGCCAGGTGTTGAAGGAGGTGCAGGAACATCCTTCAGCCTCGCTGAGGGATAGAGAATGCGCAGGACAATCCTCTGGATTTTGTGAGGGATGGGGGATGTGCAGGAGCATCCTTCAGCCTCAGTGAGAGATGGAGGAGGTGCAGGACAATCCTGTGGATTGAGAGAGGGCTGGAGGAGGTGCAGAGGGATCCTGTGGATTGAGAGAGGGATGAGGGAGTCCAGGACAATCCTGGGAACACACAGAGGGATGGAGGGAGTGCAAGACAATCCCCTGGACACACACAGGGATGGAGGAGGTGCAGGACAGTCCTGTGGTGACACAGAGGGATGAGGGAGGGCAGGACAGTCCTCTGGACACTCAGAGAGATGGAAGGAGTGCAAGACAATCCCATGGATTTAGTGAGGGACAGAGGAAGGGCAGGAACATCCTTCAGCCTCGCTGAGGGATAGAGAATGTGCAGGACAATCCCCTGGACACACAAAGATGGAAGGAGTGCAGGACAATCCTGTGGACACACACAGGGATGGAGGAAGGGCAGGGGCATCCTTTTGCTGCTCTGAGACATGGAGGAGGTGCAGGACAATCCACTGGACACACACAGGGATGGAAGGAGTGCAGGACAATCCTGTGGATTTAGCGAGACGTGGAAGGAGCGCAGGACAGCCCTCCAGCCTTGCCAGGTGATGGAGGAGGTGCAGGAGCATCCTTCAGCCTCGCTGGGGGATGAGGGAGGGAAGGAGAGTCCTGTGGACACTCAGGTGGAAGGAGTGTGGGACAATCCTGTGGATTCAGAGAGGGATGGAAGAGGTGCAGGAGCATCCTTCGGCCTCACTGAGGGATGGAAGGAGTGCAGGACAATCCTGTGGAGATTCACAGGGATGGAAGGAGTGTGGGACAATCCTGTGGATTTAGTGAGACATGGAGGAGGTGCAGGAGCATCCTGTGGATTCAGAGAGGGATGGAGGAGGTGCAGAACAATCCCCTGGACACACACAGGGATGGAGGAGGTGTAGGAACAAACTTTGGCTTCACTGAGGGATGGAGAATGTGCAGAACAGTCCCGTGGACACCCTGAGGGATGGAGGGAGTGCAGGAGAGTGCTGTGGATTCAGAGAGGGATGGAGGAGGTGCAGGACAATCCTGGACACACACACAGGGATGGAAGGAGTGCAGGACACTGTTCTGGATTCAGAGAGGGACGAGTGATGGGTGTGGAGCCATCACCACCCCCGGGATGTGCCCCGGAGCTGCCAGAGCCTCCCGGAGGTGCCAACAGCCCCTGCAGGGTGGGGACAGCGCTGCTGTCACTGCTGTGGCCCTGTCCCCAACCCCATCCCGCGGGTGCAGAGCTGATTAACCCCCCACACTACCCCAAGTGGGGCTCAGGTCCCCTCTGGGACAACCAGGTGCTCCCCAAATTCTAACCAGGTCTGTGGGACCCCATCCTGTCCCTCTAATTCCCTTTTATCCTCTTGTCACAGCCCCCAAATCCAGGGTTGGGGGTGCTCCCACAGCCCCCCACCCCCCCAGCAGCACGGGGATCCAGGAGTGCAAAATGTGCTTTATTTAATAGGGAACGACACCACCACCACCAGCAGCTGCTGCTGCTTCCAGACACCTGGAGGGGAAGAGGAACAGGATTTTAGCGGGGTGACCCCACTGTGGGGTCAGAGCCATTCCAGGGACACCCCCCAATGCTCACCTGGATGGAATTCCCAGAATTCCCCAATTCCATCATTTTTTTGCTGCTCTTTTCCTGCCCCGGCCGGCCCCGCGTCCCTGCAGAACGAGGAGGGGGCTCAATATGGGGTGGGGGGAGCCCCCAAATCTGGGCTTCCCCCCCATTTTGGGGTCCAGCGGTGCTGCTGGTCACACCCTGATCCCCGAACCTCCCCCCATATCCCGAGGGATTTGGGGGGACCCCGAGCTGCTCCTACCTTGGCTGGGGGGGCACGTGCAGGGACGAGGCTGTTCCTGCTGGAGAGAAGGGGGGGTCAGACTGGGGGTCCCGGCCGTGGGGACCCCCCCTCACCCCCAGGTTTCCATACTCACGGCTCCTCCTCCTTCTCCCACTTCCTTTTCTACGGGAGAGAGAAAGAGAGGGAGGATGAGGAGTCTTCCTCCCACAGGGATGAAGGTCATGGCTCATCTCCATAGCAGAGAGGAATTTGGGGTTCCCCCCCATGCCACAGGAACCCCAAAACCCCTCCAACCTCCTCATCAGGTGCTGACCTTGGTTGTTCTGCCCTTCTGGGCACCTGAGCCCTTTGGGGGCTTCTTGGGGGCTTGCACTGCTGCTTCCTCTTCTTCCTCCTCCTCATCATCATCAGAATCCTCATCCGAGCTCAGGTCCAAGACTGCGGGAGAGGCTGGCTGAGCCCCCAAACCCCGCTGGGGGGGTCAGGGGGACCCCAATACTCATCACTGGGCAGCGGTAGGGGGGTTCAGGGGGTGGGGGTCCCCAATAGTCACTGGACACATAGAGGGGGGACACCCCAATACTCACTGGACACCATGGGGGGATTCAGGGGGTGTGGGGGACCCCCATAGTCACTGTACATGCTCTGGGGGGGTTCAGGGGATGGGGACCCCAATACTCACTGGACACATGGAGGGGACCCTGATACTCACTGGACATGTGGAGGGGTTCAGGGGGTGTGGGGACCCCCTGATACTCACTGGACACGTTTTGGGGGGTTCAGTGGGTGGGGGACACCCCAAGACTCACTAGACACCATGGGGGGATTCAGGGGGTGTGGGGGACCCCCCCCATAATCACTGTACATGCTCTGGGGGGGTTCAGGGCATGGGGAACCCGATGCTCACTAGACACATGGAGGGGAGCACCCCGATAATTATTGGGCACGTTGTGGGGGGGTTCAGGGGGTGGGGGGGACCCCGATAGTCACTGGACAGGCGGGGGGAACCCCCATACTCACAGATGTGGGGGGGGACACACCCCAATACTCACTGGGCACGTGGAGGGGACCCCGATACTCACTGGACATGTGGAGGGGTTCAGGGGGTGTGGGGGACCCCCCCATAGTCACTGTACATGTTGTGGGGGGGTTCAGGGCATGGGGAACCCGATGCTCACTAGACACATGGAGGGGAGCACCCCGATAATTATTGGGCACGTTGTGGGGGGGTTCAGAGGGTGGGGGGACCCCGATGATCACTGAACACGTGGGGATCAGGGGCTGGGGGGGGACACCTCGAGAGTCATTGGACACTTTGTGGGGGTGTTCAGGGGGTGGGGGGACCCCGATATTCACTGGACACGTTGCGGGGGGTTCAGGGGGTGAGGGGACACCCTGATACTCACTGGACACACGGGGGGAACTCAAATACTCATTGGACACCATGGGGGAAATCAGGGGGTGTGGGACACCCCAATAGTTACTGGACACGTGGGGGGGGGAGGTCAGGGGGACCCCCATAGTCACTGTACATGTTGTGGGGAGGGTCAGGGGGTGGGGGGGACCCTAACACTCACTGGACATGCAGGGAGGGTTTGGGGGGTAGGAGGGATCCCAATACTCAATGTACACGTGGAGGGGACCCCGATATTCACTGGACACGTGGGAGGGGTTCAGGGGGTGAGGGACACCCCGACACTTGATGGACATGTAGGGGGGTTCAGGGGGTACCCCGATACTCACGGGACACGTGCTGGCCGCTGACAAAGAGGGGCCCCGAGCCGGCTCGCAGGCGCAGGGTCACCGGGGGGTTCAGCTCCATTCCGGCCAGCGAGGCCTGGAAACGGGGGTGGGAATAAATGCTGGCAAACCCCCGGGACTGCAACAGCGACCCCCGGGACAGGAACGGCCCCCAGACCTCTAGAACCCTCCCCGGGACAGCAACAGCCCCCAGAGCCCTCCCGGGGACAGGAGCAGCTCCCCCACCCGAGCCCTCCCGTTACAAGGCGGGACAACAACGAGGGGACGGCTGGGACAGGGGGACACGGGAGGATCAAGGGGACGGCGTGGGACAGACACGAAGGACTGAGGGACAAAGGACAACACGTGGGGACACGGGGAGCGCAGGACACGAGGGGACACGCAGGATAGGAGGACAGAGGAGATGGAGGACAGGGGCAGCCCCCCGAACCCTCCTTGGGACAGCGGCAGCTCCCTGAGTAGGCCCCATTCCCCGAGCCCTTCCCGGGACAGGAACAGGAGCCCCCCCAGACCCTCCCTGAGACAGGGGCAGCCCCTGGAGCTCCCCCGGGACAGGGGCAGCCCCCAGCCCCTCTGAACCTTCCCCAGGACAGCCCCCGGACCCCCCAGCCCTCCCAGGGACAGCCCGCGGACCCTCCCAGGGACAGGAGCAGTTCCCCGAAGGAGCCCCCAGTCCCTCAAGCCCCCCACAGGACAGACCCTGGACCCTCCCCAGGACAGGAGCAGCCCCCAGTCCCCCAAGCCCTCCACAGGACAGGAGAAGCCCCCAATCCCTCTATGGGACAGCCCCCGGATCCTCGGAGCCCCCCGAGCCCTCCCGGGGATAACCCCCAGAGCCCCGAGCCCTCCCCGAGACAACAGCAGCCCCTGAAGGAGTCCCCAAGCCCCCCACGGGACAGACTCTGGACGCCCCCGGGACAGGAGCAGCCCCCAGACCCCCCAAGCCCTCCCAGTGACAGTCCCCAGACCCTCTCCAGGACAGGAGCAGTTCCCCGAAGGAGCCCCCATTCCCCCAAGCCCTCCACAGGACAGACCCTGGACCCCCCCCGGGACAGTTCCCGGACCCCTCCTCGGGACAGGAGCGGCCCCCAGGCCCCCCAACCCTCCGCGGGACAGCACCCTCGGAGCCCCCTGAGACAGCCCCCGGATCCTCCCCAAGACAGGAGTAGTCCCCTGGAGAAGCCCCCAACCCCGGAGCCTCCCGAGTCAGTTCCTGGAGCCCCTCGGGGCAGCCCCCAGACCCCTCCTCGGGACAGCCCCCAGACCCTCTCTGGGACAGGAGCAGTTCCCCGAAGGAACCCCCATTCCCCCAAGCCCTCCACAGGACAGACCCCGGACCCTCCCCGGGACAGCGGCAGCTCCCAGAGTAGGCCCCACTCCCCGAGCCCTTCCAGGGCAGGAACAGGAGCCCCCCCAGACCCTCCCCAGGACAGGGGCAGCCCCTGGAGCTCCCCGAGCCCTCCCGGGACAGCGACAATCCCCAGACCCTCAAGGCCTCCCCGGACCCTCTCCGGGACAGGAGCAGTCCCCCGAAGGAGCCCCCAGTCCCCCAATCTCTCCACAGGACAGACCCTGGACCCTCCCCAGGACAGGAGGAGCCCCCAGACCCCTCCTCAGGACAGCCCCAAGTCCCGGAGCCCCCCAGACCCCTCCCGGTCCCTCCCCGGAGCCCCTCAGGCCTCACCATGGGCAGCACGGAGGGTTTGAGCGTGGCCAGCGGCAGCGGGGCGCGGCTGTCGCCGCCCTCGGCCGCCACCTCGAGCACGTGGAACTCATCCCGGGCCGCCTCCCCCAGGCACACCTGGGCAGGGAAAAGGAGGGAAATCCCTGAGGACACCCCCAAAATGCGGCCTGAACCCCGAAATTGGGGTTTGGGGGTGAGGGGAGCCCCTGCCCAGCCAACATCCCTGCAGGAGCCATCACAGCACCGGGAACTTGGGGGGCTGAGGGACACCAGCACCCCCTCCCTGCTGCCACAATCGCTCCCACATCCCAATTAATTCATTAATTAAACACACAATTAATTCCAGGCTGTGGGAAGAACAAATTCCCCTCAACCCCCTCGGTTTTTTTTTTTTTTTTTGTTTTTTTTTTTTTTTTTTTTTTTAGGGTATTTTTTGGGGTTTTTTTTTGGGGGGGGGATATTTTTTTGGTCTTGGATTTTTTGGGGGGGTTATTTTGGGAGTTATTTTTGGGATATTTTTTGAGAATTTGAGATTTTTTTTTGGGAGGGGTTTTGGGGTTTTTTGGGGGGTATTTTTTTGGGTCTTAAGGTATTTTTGGGGGCTTTTGTTTGGGTTTTGGGGTCTCGGGTTTTTTTGGGGTATTTTTTGAGGAGTTTTAGGGCGGTTAAGTTTTTGTTGGGGGGTACTTTTTTAGGTCTTAGGGAGGTATTTTGGGGTATTATTTGAGATTTTGAGGGGTTTTGGGGAGGGTATTTCTTTGGGTCTTAAGGGGTTTTTGGGGGTATTTTTTTGGGTGGGATTTCTTTGGGTTTTAGGGTCTTGGGGTTTTTTGGGGGGTATCATTTGAGGGATTTTAAGGGTTTGTTTTGGGGTATTTTTTTGGGGTTTTAGGTTTTTTGGGGGGTATTTTTTTTTTTTGAGATTTCAAGGATTTTGGGGGGCATTTTTTTTGGGTCTTAGGGGTATTTTTGGGGGTATTTTTGGGGTCGCTCACCGTGCGCAGCACCAGCTGCTGCTCGCAGTGCCAATCCTCGGTCACTTGGAAGGTGCAGGAGCTCCTGGCGCTGCTCAGCTCGCACCCTGTGGGGACAGGAGGGGACAGAGCCACCCCCGGGTCCCCCCGGGTATGGGGGGGACATTTTGGGGGTGTTTGGGGTGGGGAGGGGGTGACACTCACCCCAAAGGACGGACACGGGTCTGTCGGAGCCGCTGTCGGTGCTGTCCGTGAAGGACATGGCTGGGGAGGGGACACGGCTCGGGGGTGGCACAGCCTGAGTGGGGACACACACACACACAGAGCTGTGGGGAAATTCAAATTTTGGGGAAAATCCCCCAAATTCAGCGCCCCCCACCCCAAATACTCACCCAAAGCAGCACCGCGGTTCGAGACCCCACAAACAGCGGGGCCGCCCCAGAGCGGCATTTATGGGGTCACAGGTCCGCCCACCCCAAAGAGTAATTAGGAGCAGCCGCGCTGTAATTAGTTAATGAACTACTCAGGTGCGGGGTTAATGAGCGTGGGAGCCCCAGCACCCCCCGCGCTGTGTGACAGGGGTCACCGTGTGGGGACATCGCTGTGGTGGTGGTGGCCCCATCCTGAGTGTCACCGGGTGTTCCCGTGCTCTGGGTGTCCCTCGATGTCACCCGTGTCCCCTCCATGTCACCCCGTGTCCCTCGATGTCACCCTCTGTTTCTTGATGTCCTCCGTGTCCCCCGATATTGTCCTGTGTCCCCTCACATCACCCGTGTCCCCGTGCCTCGCGTGTCCCCCGCGTTGTCCCCTCCATGTCACCTCGTGTCCCTATGCTCCTCGTGTCCCCACCTGTCCCCTCCATGTCCCCCGTGTTGTGCCGTGTCCCTCGATGTCACCCGTGTCCCCTTCATGTCCCCCCCGTGTTGCCCTCCATGTCCCTTGATGTCACTCGTGTCCCCTCCATGTTCCCCGATGTCCCCTCGTGTTCTCCTGTGTCCCCTCACACCACCCGTGTCCCCTTGCCTCGCGTGTTCCCCCGGGTTGTCCTGTGTCCCCCCGTGTCCCCTCCATGTCCCCGTGTGTCCTCCACCCAACGTGTCCTCCCGTCTTGTCCTGGGTCCTTCGATGTCCCTCCGTGTCCCCCTGTCCTGCGTGACCCCCTCGTGTCCCCACCATGTCACCCCATGTCCCCGCATGTCCTGTGTTGTCCTGTCTGTCCCTCAATGTCCCCCTGTGTCTCTCCCATGTCCCCACGTGTTGTTCTGTGTTCCCTCGATGTCACCCCGTGTCCCTCCATGTCCCCACGTGTTGTTCTGTGTCCCTTGATGTCCCCCTGTGTTCCCTCGGTGTCACCCCGTGTCCCTCCGTGTCCCCCTGTCCCTCGGTCCTGCGTGTCCCTCCCGTGTTCCCCTGATCTCCCCGTGCCCCCCTGCCCCAGGCGTCCCCCCGTTGTCCCCTCTGTCCCCCCATGTCCCCCCCCGGTCTCTCTGTCCCCCCCTTGTCCCTCCCCCGCTCCACGTGTCCCCTCTGTCCCCCCAGCGTCCCCCCGTATCTCGGCACTCTGCGACACTCCTTGTCCCTCGGTGCTGCGTGTCCCTCCCGTGTCCCCCCGTGTCTCCTCTGTCCGCCGCCCTCCCCTCTGTGTGCCCCTTGTCCCTCCCCCGACCCCCCATGTCCCCCTCTCTCCCCACTCTGTCCCTCTCTGTCCCCCCCATCTCCCTCTGTCCCCCCCTGTCCCCTCCTCGGTCCCCTCCCGTCCCTCCCATATCCCCCCAGTGTCCCCCCGTGTCCCCCCCATCTCCCCCTGTCCCCCCGTGTCCCCTCTCTTCCCCCCGTGTCCCCTCTGCCCCCCTCTCCCTCCCCGTGTCCCCCTGTCCCTCTCTATCCCTCTCTGTCCCCCCTATATCCCCCCGTGTCCCCCTCTCTCCCCCCTGTCCCCTCCCGTCCCTCCCATATCCCCCCATGTCCCCCTCGTGTCCCCCTCTGTCCCCTCCCCTGTCCCCCCTGTCCCTCCCCGGTCCCTTGTGTCCCCCCCCGTCCGCTCTGTCCCTCCATCCCTCCCCTGTCCCCGCTGTCCCTCCCCGGTCCCCGCTGTCCCCTCCCGTCCCGGTGCCCCTCCCCTTCCGGCAGCGATGGCGGCGGCGGGGCTGGCGGGGCTGGTGAGACCGGGGGGGACTGGGGGGCACCGGGTGGCTCTGGGTGGCTCTGGGGGCCCTGTCCCCGTGTCCCCGCGGTGTCGCATTCCCGTGTCCCCGCAGGGTCCCGGCGAGGCCGCGGCGGCCGCTCAGGCGCTGTCGCTGCCCGCGGAGAGCTTCGGCAACGACGTGAGTGGGACTGGGGGGACACTGGGGACACTGGGGGGACTGGGGGGACTGGGGGGACTGGGAAAGTGAGTGACACTGGGGACACTGGGGACACTGGGGGGACTGGGAAAGTGAGTGACACTGGGGACACTGGGGACACTGGGGACATTGGGGGGAACTGGGAAAGTGAGTGACACTGGGGACACTGGGGGGACTGGGGGGACTGGGAATCGAGACTGGGGGGGGGTTGGGAAAGTGAGTGACACTGGGGGGACTCTGGGGACACTGGGGGGACTGGGGGGATTGGGAAAGTGAGTGACACTGGGGGGACTGGGAATGGGGACCGGGGACACTGGGGGACACTGGGGCGACTAGGACACTGGGGGGATTGGGAGAACTGGGAGTGGTGGCACTGGGGGGACACTGGGGGGACGGGAGACACACTGAGGGGACTGAGAATGGGGACTGGGGGAACTGGGGACACTGGTGGGACTGGGAAGGTGAGTGACACTGGGGGGACTCTGGGGACACTGGGGGGACTGGGGGGATTGGGAAAGTGAGTGACACTGGGGGGACACTGGGGGGACTGGGAATAGGGACGTTGGAGATGCTGGGAGATAGGAGGAACTGGGAGTGGTGGCACTGGGGGGACACCACGGGGGACTGGGGAACTGGGGACACTGGTGGGACTGGGAATGGGAAAGGAAAAGTGAGTGACACTGGGGGGAATGGGGGGACCGGGATTTCGGGGAGTGGGGGGACACCGTGGGGGACTGGGGAACTGGGGACACTGGTGGCACTGGGAAAGTGAGTGACACTGTGGGGACTGGGAATGGGGACCGGGGACACTGGGGGATTGGGAGAACTGGGATTGGTGGCACTGGGGGGACACTGGGAGGACTGGGAATTGGGGCAGTGGGGGGACTGGGACACTGGGGACACACCAGGGGGACTGTGGGGACTGGGAATGGGGACACTGAAGGGGACTGGAGACACTGGAGGGGACTGGGACTGGGAAAGTGAGTGACACTGGGGGGATTGGGGGGACACTGGGGGTATTGGGAGACTGGGAATGGGGACAGTGGGGGGACACTGGGGGGACTGGAAGTCGGGTCACTGGAGGGACACTGGGGGGACTGGGGACACTGGAGGGACACGGGGGGGGACTGGGGGGACTTACAGGACTGGGAATGGGCACACTGCGGGGACACTGGGGGTACTGGGGGGACACTGGGGGGGACAGGGGACAGTGGTGGGGCCGGGGAACTGGGACTTGGGACACGGGCTACTGGGGGGACTGGGGACACTGAGAATGGGGACACTGGTGGGACTGGGAATGGGGGCAGTGGGGAGGACTGGGGCCACTGGGGGCCCTTACTGGGAGGGGGGCCCAGATTTGGGGTTCCAACTTTGGGGTCCCAGTCTTGGGAGAGGGGTCCCAGTTTTGGGGGATCTCAGTTTGGGGGGGTTCCCCCAGTCCAGGGGGAGATCCTGGTTTTGGGGTGTCCCAGTTTTGGGGTGTCCCAGTTTTGGGGCTCTCAGTCCCAGCACGGGGGTCCCACCCCTGTCCCCTGGGAGGAGGAAAACCCCAAAAAGAAGAAACCCCCCAGAATGGGAACAGAGGAACCCCAAAGGCAGGGAAAACCCTACAAAAGCAGGGAGAACGCCCCAAAACCGGGGAGGGGGTCCCCAAAATGGGACGGGGACCCCCCCCCCGAGGGGACGTTTGTCCCCAGGAGGTGACCCAGGTGTCCCTGGTGCCACCCAGCCCCGCGTGGAGCTGGCCTGGGCCATGAAGGCGCATCAGCACGCCGAGGTCTACTTCAACGTGAGTGTGGGGTTTGGGGTTTGGGGGTTTTGGGGTGGGGGTTTTGGGCTTTTGGGGTTTTGGGGTGGGGGTTTTAGGGTCTTGGTGTGGGGTTTTCGGGTTTTCGGGTGGGCTTTTGGGGCTTTGGGGTTTTGGCATTTTGTGATTTTGGGGATTTGGGGTTTTGGGGCTTTTGGGGTTTGGGGTTTTGGGGTTTTAGGGGTTTGGGGTTTTGGGGCTTTGGGGTGAGGTTTTGGGGTTTTAAGGGTTTGGGGTTTTGGGGTTTTAGCATTTTGGGGTTTTGGGGCTTTGGGGTGGGATTTTGGCATTTTGGGGTTTTCTGGTGGCCTCTTGGGATTTTGCGGTTTTGGGGCTTTGGCATTTTAGGGTTTTGGGGCTTTGGGGTGGGGTTTTGGCATTTTGGGGTTTGGGCACTTTGGGGCAGGATTTTGGGGTTTTGGGGTGGGGTTTTGGGGCTTTGGGGCTTTGGGATGGGGTTTTGGGGTGGAACTTTGACATTTTGGACTGCGCTTTTGGGGTGGGGTTTTGGCATTTTTGAGTTTTGGGGCTTTGGGGTGGGATTTTGGCATTTTGGGGTTTTCTGGTGGCCTCTTGGGATTTTGCGGTTTTGGGGCTTTGGCATTTTAGGGTTTTGGGGCTTTGGGGTGGGGTTTTGGCATTTTGGGGTTTGGGCACTTTGGGGCAGGATTTTGGGGTTTTGGGGTGGGGTTTTGGGGCTTTGGGGCTTTGGGATGGGGTTTTGGGGTGGAACTTTGACATTTTGGACTGCGCTTTTGGGGTGGGGTTTTGGCATTTTTGAGTTTTGGGGCTTTGGAGTGGGGTTTTGGCATTTTGGGGTTTTGAGGTGGGGTTTTGGGTCTTTGGGGTGGGGTTTTGGGGTGTCCCAGCTGATGGTCCCCCTGCAGCTGATCTCCTCCGTGGAGCCCAAGTTCCTGAAGCTCACCCAGGTGGACGAGCGGATCTATGAGGAATTCCGCAGAACCTTCCGGAACCTGCGCGTGGACGTGCTGGACCCCGAGGAGCTGAAATCTGAGGCAGCCAAGGAGGTGGGGGAGGTTTGGGTTTTAGTGGGGTTTGGGGGGGTTTTAGTGGGATTTCCCTCCTTTTTAATGAGGTTTCCTCTAAAAAAAACCCCAAAACCCCCAGAAATACCACAAAAAACCCCCAAAATATCTCAAACCCCCAAAACCCCCCAAAACACCTCTAAAAATCCCAAAATCCCAAAGATACCTCAAGAAACCCCCCAAAATACCTTAAAAAACTCCTAACTCCAAACAATACCTCACAAAACCCCCAACCCCCCCCAAAAAAATAAAAAGAAACCCCAAACCCCAAAAAACCCTCAAAAAATACCTCAAATCCCCCAAAACACACCCCAAAATACCTCAAAAAACCCAAAAAATACCTCACAAAACCCCAAAGCCCAAAGAATACCTCAAAAAAACCCCAAACTGAAAAAATACCTCAGAAACCCAAAACCCCCAAAAAACACTCAAAAAGCCAAAAACCCAGGGGTGTTTTGAGGTGTTTTAGTGGGGTTTCCCCCCTTTTTTGTAGGATTTTGGGGTGCTTAGGGTGTTCTTAACCCCCTAAAAGTTGTGCCTCTCCTTTGAGGGGATGGTGAAGGATTTCAGCTACAGGGCCAAGATTTGGGGGGGTTTTAGTGGGATTTCCTCCCAGGGCTGTGGATGGGGTTTTGTGTGGGGGTTTTAGTGAAGTTTGGGGAGGTTTTATTGGGATTTGGGGGGTTTTAGTGGGGTTTTATTGGGATTTTGGGGTGCTGAGGGTGTTTTCCCCCTCAGAAGTGGCGCCCGTTCTGCCTCAGCTTCGAGGGCGTGGTGGAGGATTTCAACTAGGCCAGGCCTAGGCTTGGGTGGGGTCTGGGGGGTTTTAATGGGGTTTGGAGGTGTTTAGTGGGGTTTCCCCCCATTTTTGTAGGATTTTGGGGTGCTGAGGGTGTTTTTGACCCCTCAGAAATGGCGCCTCTGCTTTGAGGGGATGGTGAAGGATTTCTGCTATGGGGCCAAAGCTTGGGGGTTTTAGTGGGATTTCCCCCCAAGGCCATGGATGGGGTTTTGTGAGGGGATTTTAGTGAAGTTTGGGGGGGGTTTAGTGGGGTTTTGGGGTGCTGAGGGTGTTTTTAACCCCTCAGAAATGGCGCCTCTAATTTGAGGTGATGGTGGAGGATTTCAGCTAGGCCAGGGCAAGGCTTGGGTTGGGTTTGGGGGTTTTTAGTGTGGGTTGGGGGGTTTTATTGGGATTTTGGGGGTTTTATTGGGATTTTGGTGTGGTTTATTAAGATTTTGGGGTGCTGAGGGTGTTTTTCCTCCCTCAGAAGTGGCGCCCGTTCTGCCTCAGCTTTGAGGGCCTGATGGAGGATTCCAACTAGACCAGGCCAAGGCTTGGGGGGGTTTTATTGGGATTTCCCCCCAAGGCTGTAGATGAGGTTTTGTGAGGGGGTTTTATTGGGATTTTAGTGGGGTTTTATTGGGATTTTGGGGTGCTGAGGGTGTTTTTCCCCCCTCAGAAGTGGCGCCCGTTCTGCCTCAGCTTCGAGGGCGTGGTGGAGGATTTCAACTTCGGGACTCTGCTGCGCCTGGACTCGCGCGGGGAATACTCGGAGGAAAATTCCATCCTGGGTGGGTTTGGGGTCTGGGGGCGCCGGGGGGACCCCAAATCCCCCCCACGCTGACCCCTGTCCCCCTCTGCAGCCACCAGGATCCAGTTCTTGGCCATCGAGATCGCCCGCAACAGGGAGGGATGCAATGAACACGTGCACAGGAGGGGAAGAGGGGAAGGGATGGGGGAGAGGAGCCACGGGGTGGAATCCTGAAATAAATCCTGAAAAACTGCCATGAATCCTGAAAAAACTTCAATTATACTGAAAGGACTCTTATAAATCCTGAAAAACTGCATTGAATCCTGAAAAAACTTCAATTATACTGAAAGGACTCTTATAAATCCTGAAAAACTGCATTGAATCCTGAGAAAACTTCAATTATACTGAAAGGACTCTTATAAATCCTGAAAAACTGCATTGAATCCTGAAAAACTGCAGTAAATCCTGAGAGGACTTTTATAAATCCTGAAGGAGTTCAATAAATCCTGAAAGGACTTCTGTAAATTCTGAAAGGATTCAATGAATCCTGAAAAACTGCAATAAATCCTGAAAAACTGCAATAAATTCTCAAAGAATTTCTATAAATCCTGAAAAACAGCAGTAAATCCTGAAAAACTTCAATAAATCCTGAAAAAACTGCAATAAATACTGAAAGAATTCAATAAATTGTGAAAGGATTCAATAATCCTGGAAGAACTTTGGTAAATCGTAAAAGGACTGCAGTAAATGGTAAAAGAATTTAAATCCTAAAAGGACTTGAATAAATCCGGAGAGGACTTTTATAAATCCTGAAAGAACTGTAATAAATTCTAAAAGGACTTTTAAAAGAACTTAAATAAATCCTGAAATTACTTTTATAAATCCTGAAAGAACTTTAATAAATCCTAAAATGATTTTAATAAATCCTAAAAGAACTTTAATAAATCCTGAAATTACTTCATTAAATCCTAAAAGGACTTTCAAAAATCCTAAAAGAACTTTAATAGATCCTAAAAGACTTTGAATAAATCCCAAATGAACTTTTATAAATCCTAAATTATTTTTATAAATCCTAAAATGACTCTTAAAAATCCTAAAAGGACTTCAGTCCTAAAAGAACTTGAATAAATCCTAAAAGAACTTAAATAAATTGTAAAAGAATTGGAATAAATCCTGAACTTCAATAAATCCTAAAATTATTTTAATAAATCTTTAAAGACCTTGAATAAATCCTAAAAGAATGTGAATAAATCCTAAAATTACTTCTATAAACCCAGAAGTTATTTTAAGCAATCCTAAAAGAGCTTTATTAAATCCTGAAATGATTTTAATAAATCCTAAAAGTTCCCTAAGCTGTAGATTTTTTCCCTATTTTAAAACCTATTTAAACCTAAACACCCCAAAACCCCCAAATCTCCCACCTGTGACCTCCCAAAACCTCAACCACAACATTTCCAATATTTTTTATAAAAAATGAAATAAACCAAACTGCAACCCCTGAGAAGAGACTTTGAATTTCTTATCTCTTAAAACAGCAGAAGTTTTTATTGTTTAATTTAATTTAATTTAATTTTATTTTATTTTATTTTATTTTTAAATTAAATTTGATTTAATTTTATTTGATTTAAATTTGATTTAATTTTATTTTATTTCTCTCCAAGGAAATCTTTTCCCCAAACCACTTCAGCAGGGGCTGCCTGAATTTTCATTTTTAAGAACCCCTTTAGGAATTTTTCTCCCCAAATGACCCCAAACCAAGACAAACGGGGCCATTCCCAGGCTTGGGAAGGTTCTGGAAGGTCAGAGCTGCCTCTGCCCCCTCCAGCTGCAAATAAAGATTGGAAAATCCCAATCCCAGTTTGGGGTCTCAGTTTGAAAACCGCCAAATCCAATCCCAGTTTGGGGTCCCCAGTTGAAAATCCCAAAATCCCAATCCCTCTTTGGGGTCCCCATTTGAAAATCCCAAAATCCCAATCCATGTTTGGGGTCCCCGTTTGAAAATCCCAAAATCCCAATCCCAGTTTGAAAATCCCAGTTCCCATGTTGGGGTCCCAGTTTGAAAATCCCAAAATCCCAATCCCAGTTTGGGGTCCCCATTTGAAAATCCCAAAATCCCAATCCCTTTTTGGGGTCCCCATTTGAAAATCCCAAAATCCCAATCCCAGTTTGAAAATCCCAGTTCCCATGTTGGGGTCCCAGTTTGAAAATCCCAAAATCCCAATCCCAGTTTGGGGTCCCCATTTGAAAATCCCAAAATCCCAATCCCAGTTTGAAAATCCCAGTTCCCATGTTGGGGTCCCAGTTTGAAAATCCCAAAATCCCAATCCCAGTTTGGGGTCCCCATTTGAAAATCCCAAAATCCCAATCCCTTTTTGGGGTCCCAGTTTGAAAATACCAAAATCCCAATCCCAGTTTGGGGTCCCTGTTAAAAAATCCCAATCCCTGTTTAAAATCCCAATCCCTCTTTGGGGTCTCAGTTTGAAAATCCCAATCCCAGTTTGGGGTCCCCATTTGAAAATCCCAGAATCCCAATCCCATGTTGGGGTCCCCATTTGAAAATCCCAGAATCCCAATCCCAGTTTGAAAATCCCAGTCCCAGTTTGGGGTCCCCCATCCCCTCACAGGTTGTTCCCTAAAATGGGCTCAAACTCCCAGGATTTGGGGTCGATCCAGGTGGGTTTTGGGGCTTGGCTCGGGGTTCAAGGATCTCCCCCCAAATTCAGGGGGAGTTTTTGGGGTTTGATTGGGGAAATCACTCTGAGGGAAAGGACTGGGGGGGATCTTGGGGTTCTGGGGGGGATCTTGGGGTTCTGAGAAGGAACTGAGAGTTCTGGGGTGAATCTCTGGGTTCTGGGGTCACTATCGGGGCTCAGGCCACTCTCGGGGTCACTATGGGGTCCCTCAGGGGCTCAGGTCACTCTTGGGGTCCCTCTCAGGGTCCCTCAGGGGTCACTCCAGGGTCCCTTGGGGTCTCAGGCCCTTCTTGGGGTCCCTGTGGGGTCACTCTGGGGTCCCTCAGGGGCACTGTGGGGGCACTCAGGGGTCCCTGTGGGGTCACCATGGGGTCACTGTAGGGTCCCTCAAGGGCTCAGGCCACTCTCAGGGTCACTGTGGGGTCCCTTGGGGGTCCCTGTGGGGTCACTCTCGTGTCGCTGTGGGGTCACTCAGGCTCCCTCAGGGGTCACTCAGGCTCCCTTGGGGGCTCAGGCCACTCTTGGGGTCCCTGTGGGGTCACTCTGGTTCACTGTGGGGTCACCATGGGGTCCCTCAGGGGTCACTCCGGGGTCCCTTGGGGGCTCAGGCCATTCACTGTGGGGTCGCTCTCAGGGGTCCCTCTTGGGGTGCCCCGGGGATCACTCAGGGGTGACTCAGGGGGCTCAGGTCACTCCTGGGGTCCCTCAGGGTTCACTTGGGGTCCCTCAGGGGGCTCAGGCCACTCTCAAGGTCCTTCTTGGGGTCACCGTGGGGTCCCTGTGGGGTCACTTGGGTACCTCCGGGGTCCCTCTGGGCTCAGGCCAGTGTTGGGGTCACTGTGGGGTCCCTCAGGGGTCCCTGTGGGGTCACTCTGGTGTCACTATGGGCTCACCACGGGGTCCCTCAGGGGTCACTGTGGGGTCCCTCAGGGGGCTCAGGCCACTCTTGGGGTCACTGTGGGCTCCCTCAGTGGTCACTCTTTGGGTCACTGTGGGTCCCTCAGGGGCACTGGGGGGGTCACTCTGGGATCACTGTGGGGTCACCATGGGGTCCCTCAGGGGCTCAGGCCACTTTTGGGGTCCCTCGGGGGTCCCTGTGGCGTCACTTTGGGGTCCCTCAGGGGTCAGTGTGGGGACACTGTGAGGTCCCTTTGGGGTCACTCTTGGGGTACGTCCGGGTCCCTCAGGGGGTTCAGGCCACTCACGGGGTCACTCTGGGGTCCCTCTCGGGGTTCCTTAGGGGTCACTATGGGCTCCCTCAGGGGTCCCTGTGGTGTCACTCAGGGTCCCTCAGGGGTCCCTCGGGGTTCCTTGGGGGTCACTCCGGGGTCCCTGTGAGGTCACTTTTGGGGTCCCTGGGGGTCTCAGCCACTCACTGTGGGGTCCCTGTGGGGGTCATTGTGGGGTCCCTCAGGGGTCACTTTGGGGTCTCTTTTGGGGTCCCTCTCAGGGTCACTGTGGGGTTTCTCGGAGAACACTCAGGGGTCACTGTGGGGTCCCTCAGGGGGCTCAGGCCACTCTTGGGGTCACTGTGGGCTCCCTCAGTGGTCACTCTTTGGGTCACTCTGGGTCCCTCAGGGGCACTGGGGGGGTCACTCTGGGGTCACTGTGGGGTGACTCAGGGGTCACTTTGGGGTCCCTCAGGGGTCACTCTCGGGGTCCCTCAGAGGTCTCTGGGGGGTCACCATGGGGTCCCTGTGGGGGTCATTGCTGGGTCCCTGTGGGGTCCCTCAGGGGTCCCTGTGGGGCCACTCTGGGGGTCCCTGTGGGGTCCCTCGGGTCACTTTGGGGGTCCCTGTGGGGTCACTTTTGGGGTCCCTGGGGGTCTCAGCCACTCTTGGGGTCACTGTGGGCTCCCTCAGGGGTCCCTGTGGGGTCACTCAGGGTCCCTCAGGAGTCCCTCTCGGGGTCCCTGTGGGGGTCATTGTGGGGTCCCTCAGGGGTCACTTTTGGGGTCACTTTTGGGGTGTCAGCCACTCGCGCGCGGCTCAGTAGAAACCATTGAGTTTATTTGCAGTCACAATGCTTACACTGTTTGCAGCAAACACCCCGACATCAACCAGCATCTGCTCACGCGGGAAAGGACCCAACACACACCAGGGGGGCAGGGAACCAACGAAAACCCAACCAAATAAAATTAAAATTTAAAAAAAAAAAACCAAAACAAAACAAAAAAAACAAACAAACAAAAAAAGAGGACAAAAAAAAATTATAATAGAGTGTCTGGGAAGAGAAACTGAAGCCCCAAAAGGCCCCGAGTGTTTTTGGGAGAGCTGAGCAAGAGGATGCACACGACTAGCAGCAACAATAGTGGGGGACACGGCAAAGGGGCTCCCTCCCCTGATGCGGGTTTGGGATCCATCCCCATCCCAAACACCCTCGGGGGGCTCTGCAGGAGAAGGGGCCTCGCTGCTGCCGGGGGGGATTCGGGGTTACCCCCATTGGGAACCCCCGTGCCGCCGCCAGCCCCGCTCCAGCCCGGAAAAACGGGAAAAAAGGGATGGAAAAAGGGGAAAAAAGGGCCCTGGGAGGGGCTACTGCTACAGAGGGGACAGGAGGGACACCCACGAGCAAGCACGAACGGAGGGGTCACGTCATGGCTTCGAGTTCCCAAGAACGAGGGCGAGACGGGACCGGGAAATTTGTGATTTTTTCAGGGGGGCTTAATAAGAAAAAATATACATTTGGAATTTTACAATGCCTTTTTTTTTTTTTTTGTGGTGGTTTTTTTTTTATTATTATTATTATTATTATTATTATTTTTAATCTTTTTTTTTTTTGTTGGTTTTTTTTTTATTTATTATTTTTTTGTGTTGTTTGAGTTTTTGCTTCTCTCTCTACAGCTCGTCTCACTAAATAGATCTCTGCACTTTCACACAGCCACCCCCTCGCCCAGTAAAGCTTCAGGCCACGCTTTCCTCACTCGCATTCACAACCCTCACACCAGCACTGGGTGCACTGTAAAAATTTCAATCACACTTTGTTTTTTGTGTTTTTTTTTTTTTTTATCATTTTGTCATTTTTTTTTATCATTTTGTCATTTTTTTTTATCATCGTTTTGTTTTTTTTTTTTTTTTTGTGTGTTTTTTTTTTGTTTTGTGATTTTTTTTTTGCACTTTTTTTTTGTCGCGTTTTTTTTTTTTTTTTTAATTATCTCGTTTTTCTGAAACTCAATATAAACCTCGCTCCAAAACGTTATGAAAAAATGTACATGTTTTTTTTTGTTTTTTTTTTTTTTTTTTTCGTTTTGTTTTGTTTTTTTTTTTTTTTTTTTTTTTTGTTGTTGTTGTTTTTATACAAGGCAGGCTTTTCGCAGCGGAGCGCCGCCGGTTCCACATTCCGGCCAGGGAAGGAAAAAGAGAGACACAGACACCTTGGAATTCCTGCACCTGGATTCTGCCCTTCCCATGGGAAAACACCTGCCCAGGTGAGCTCCACCTGCTGCTCCCTCCTCCCTGGGCTGGGGGAGGCCCCGGGGCGGCCCCGGGCCGGGCTGGGCTCTGCGGCTGTCAGCTCATCATGTCGTTGCTGTTGACGCCGTAGCTCGAGTTCTTCATGGAGTCGTTGACCTCCCTCCGGAACGCCGACAGGTTCTGGGTGAACCTGGGGGACAGGGGAGAGAAGGTTCCAGCATGCCGGAATTCCAGGATTCCAACATTCCATGATCCCAGCATTCCATCGTTCCAGGATTCCACCATTCCATCACATTCCATTGCTCCGTGATTCCAGCGTTCCACCATTCCGTCGCTCCACCATTTCATGATTCCAGGATTCCACCACATTCCATCATTCCAGCATTCTGTAATTCCACGATTCCAGCGTTCCACCGTTCCCTCATTCCAGCATTCCATCGCTCCACCATTTCATGATTCCAGGATTCCATCACATTCCACCATTCCGTCATTCCAGCATTCCATCACATTCCATGATCCCACCACTTCACCACTCCAGGATTCCACCACATTCCATCACTCCATCATTCCATGATTCCATGGCTCCATCATTCCATCACATTCCATCACATTTCATGATTCCAGGATTCCATCACATTCCATCATTCCAGCACTCTGTAATTCCACGATTCCAGTGTTCCACCATTCCATCATGCCACCATTCTGTCATTCCAGGATTCCATGATTCCATCACATTCCATCACTCCATCGTTCTGTCATTCCATGATTCCATCATTCCAGCATTCTATCATTCCATAATTCCATCATTCCACCATTCCATCACTCCCATCATTCCATGATTCCAGCATTCCATCATTTCACGATTCCACCATTCCAGCGTTCCATGATTCCAGCATTCCATCACATTCCATGATTCCACCACTCCACCATTCCAGGATTCCACCACATTCCATCACTCCATCATTCCATGATTCCATCGCTCCATCATTCCATCACAATCCACCACATTCCCCCATTCCAGCGTTCCATGATTCCACCATTCCATCACATTCCATCATTCCAGCATTCCATCACTCCACCATTTCATGATTCCAGGATTCTACCACATTCCATCATTCCAGCACTCTGTAATTCCACGATTCCAGCGTTCCACCATTCCATCATGCCACCATTCTGTCATTCCAGGATTCCATGATTCCAGCATTCTATCATTCCATAATTCCATCATTCCACCATTCAATCACTCCATCATTCCATGATTCCAGCATTCCATCATTTCACGATTCCACCATTCCATGCTTCCATCATTCCAGCATTCCATCACATTCCACCATTCCAGCATTCCATCACATTCCATGATTCCACCACTTCACCATTCCAGGATTCCACCACACTCCATCATTCCATGATTCCATGGCTCCATCATTCAATCACATTCCATCACATTTCATGATTCCAGGATTCCATCACATTCCATCATTCCAGCATTCTGTAATTCCACGATTCCAGTGTTCCACCATTCCATCATGCCACCATTCTGTCATTCCATGATTCCAACATTCCATCATTTCAAGATTCCACCATTCCGTGGTTCCGTAATTCCATGATTCCATCATTCCAGCATTCTATCATTCCATAATTCCATCATTCCACCATTCCATCACTCCCATCATTCCATGATTCCAGCATTCCATCATTTCACGATTCCACCATTCCAGCATTCCATCACATTCCATCACTCCACCATTCCAGCGTTCCAGGATTCCAGCATTCCATCACATTCCACCATTCCGTCATTCCAGCATTCCATCACATTCCATGATTCCACCACTCCACCATTCCAGGATTCCACCACATTCCATCACTCCACCATTCCAGCATTCCCCCATTCTGTCATTCCAGGATTCCATGATTCCATCACATTCCATCACTCCATCGTTCTATCATTCCATGATTCCATCGCTCCATCACATTCCATCACATTCCACCATTCCACCGTTCCATGATTCCAGCATTCCATCACATTCCAGCATTCTATCATTCCATAATTCCATCATTCCACCATTCCATCACTCCCATCATTCCATGATTCCAGCATTCCATCATTTCACGATTCCACCATTCCGTGGTTCCGTGATTCCAGCATTCCGTCATTCCATGATTTCACGGCTCCACCATTCCATGATTCCATCATTCCACCACTCCACCATTCCAGCATTCCACCATTCTGTCATTCCAGGATTCCATGATTCCATCACTCCATCATTCCATCACATTCCACCATTCCAGTGTTTCATGATTCCAGCATTCCATCACATTCCATCATTCCATGATTCCAGCATTCCATCATTTCGCGATTCCACCATTGCATGGCTCCATGATTCCAGCATTCTGTCATTCCATGACTTCATGGCTCCACCATTCCATGATTCCAGCATTCCATCACACTCCACCATTCCATCATTCCAGCATTCCAGCATTCTAGCATTCCATGATTCCAGCATTCCATGACATTCCATGATTCCACCACTCCATTATTCCATGATTCCACCATTCCACCATTCTACCACTCTGTCATTCCATGATTCCATGGCTCCATCATTCCATAATTCCATCACTCCATGATTCCATCATTCCATGATTCCACCATTCCATCACTCTACCACTCCACCATTCCATGATTCCATCATTCCACCACTCCATGATTCCATCATTCCACAATTCCACCATTCCCCATCCCATGAACTGTCCATCTCAGACCAGTTCCCCCCACAACTCCGAGCCCAGCGGTGTCTCCACACCAAGGATGGGGATCCACCACTTCCCATGAAGGGATTTTATCCCACTGGAACCGGGATATCGGGAAGGAATCCCTGCCTGGGATGGAATTCCCAGAGGAAAATCTGTGGTTTCTCCATCCCTGGAAGTGCCCAAAGCCAGCCTGGAGCACCCCTGGTCCCATGGGAGGTGTCCCTGCCCACGGCACTGGATGGGATTTAAGGTTCCTCCCAACCCAAACCATTCCAACCACGAACCCTTGAAGGAATCTTTCCATGGGAAGTTTCAAACAGGAATGGGATATTGGGAAGGAATTCCCTGAGGAAAATCTGTGGTTTCTCCATCCCTGGAGGTGTCCCTGGCCAGGGTGGAATCCCCCTGGGACAGTGGAAGGTGTCGTGGGAAATACCCATGGATATTTAGGATCCAACCACAAACCCATGAAGGAATCCCATGGGAAGCTTCAAACTGGAATGGGATATTGGGAAGGAATTCCTGCCTGGGATGGAATTCCCAGAAAAGCTGTGTCTGTCCTATCCCTGGAGGTGTCCCTGGCCAGGTTGGATCCCCCTGGGACAATGGAAGGTGTGGTGGGAAATACCCGTGGACATTTAAGATCCCCTCCCACCCAAACCATTCCAACCATGAAGCCATGAAGGAATCCCATGGGAAGTCTCAAACTGAAATGGGGATATTTGGATATATATAAATCCCATGGGAAGTTTCAAAGTGAAATGGGGATACTGGGAAGGAATTCCCAGAGCAGCTGTGTCTGCTCCATCCCTGGAAGTGTCCCAGGCCAGGCTGGAGCATCCTGGGATGGTGGGAAATACCCGTGGGTATTTGTGCTCCCTCCCAACCCAAACTACTGCACAATTCCAACTGTGAACTCATGAAGGAATCTTTCCATGGGAAGTTTCAAACAGGAATGGGATATTGGGAAGGAATTCCCAGAGGAAAATCTGTGGTTTCTCCATCCCTGGAGGTGTCCCTGGCCAGGGTGGAATCCCCCTGGGACAGTAGAAGGTGTGGTAAGAAATATCCATGGATATTTAGGATCCAACCACAAACCCATGAAGGAATCCCATGGGAAGCTTCAAACTGGAATGGGATATTGGGAAGGAATTCCTGCCTGGGATGGAATTCCCAGAGGAAAATCTGTGGCTGCTCCTGGATCCCTGGAAGTGTCCCTGGCCAGGTTGGATCAACCTGGGACACCAGAAGGTGTGGTGGGAAATATCCACCCCGTTTAAGATCCCCTCCCACCCAAACTATTCCAACCATGAAGCCATGAAGGAATCCAAAGGAAGTTTCAAACTGAAATGGAGATATTGGGAAGGAATTCCTGGCTGGGATGGAATTCCCAGAGGAGCTGTGGCTGCTCTATCCCTCGAAGTGTCCCTGGCCAGGTTGGATCAACCTGGGACAGTAGCAAATACCCGTGGATACTTAGGATCCCTCCAACCACGAACTATTCCATGATTCCAACCATGAAGCCATGAAGGAATCTTTCCATGGGAAGTTTTGAACTGGAATGGGATATTGGGAAGGAATTCCCAGAGGAAAATCTGTGGTTTCTCCATCCCTGGAAGTGTCTCAGGCCAGTTTGGATCAACCTGGGACAATGGAAGGTGTGGGAAATACCCGTGGACATTTAAGATCCCCTCCCACCCAAACCATTCAAACCATGAAGGAATCTTTCCATGGAAAGTTTTAAACTGAAATGGGGATATTGGGAAGGAATTCCTGGCTGGGATGGAATTCCCATAGCAAGTTTCAAAGTGAAATGGGGATATAATGGGGAATGAATTCCTGGCTGGGAGGGTGGGGATGGAATTCCCAGAGGAGCTGTGGCTGCCCCATCCCTGGAGGTGTCCCAGGCCAGGTTGGATCCCCTGGGCCAGTGGGAAATACCCGTGGATATCCAGGCTCCCTCCCAGCCCAAGCCCTGCCCCGTCCTATCCCATGGAACGCTGTTCCCATTCCCGTTCCCGTTTCCATTCCCGTTCCCATTCCCATTCTCATTCCCATTCCCGTTCCTGTTCCCATTCCCATTCCCATTCCTGTTCCCATTCCCATTCCCATTCCCGTTCCCATTCCCATTTCCGTTCCCATTCCCATTCCCGTTCCTGTTCCCATTCCCGTTCCCATTCCCATTCCTGTTCCCATTCCCATTCCCGTTCCCATTCCCATTCCCGTTCCCGTTCCCATTCCCATTCCCATTCCTGTTCCCAATCCCATTCCCGTTCCCGTTCCCGCTCCCGTTCCCACCTGTCGCGGTTCTTGGTGAGCAGGTTGCGCTCGATGCCCTCCATGAGGTTCTCGAAGCACAGGTGCATGGCCTGCTGCTTCTCCGGGGGCTGGCTGTTCACGATGCTGTTCCGCAGGTCCGAGAAGTACTGGGGAGGCGGGACAGCGAGGGGTTAACTCCCATGGGATCGGGATTTGGGACTGGGAACAGCCCCTCGGGGTGCTGGGGATCAGGAGGGAGCATCCCAAAGTACGAGGGGTGGAGGTGGAATGATCAGCTCCAAGGAACTTTCCTGGCCATGGGACCATCCCAAGGATCATCCTGGCCATGGGATAATCCCAAAGACCAACCTGGCCACAGGATCATCCTGGCCATGGGATCATTCCAAGGACCACCCTGGCCATGGGATGATCCCAAGGAGCTCTCCTGGCCACGGGATCATTCCTGGGAGCCTTCCTGGTCATGGGATGATCCCAAGGAGCTCTCCTGGCCATGGGATCAATCCAAGGACCATCCTGGCCATGGAATCATCTCAAGGATCATCCTGGCCATGGAATCAATCTAAGGATCATCCTGGCCATGGGATGATCCCAAGGAGCTTTCCTGGCCATGGGATCATTCCAAGGACCATCCTGGCCATGGGATCATCCTGACCACGGGATCACTCCAAGGACCATCCTGGCCATGGGATCACTCCAAGGATCATCCTGTCCATGGGATCATTCCAAGGATCATCCAGGCCATGGAATCATCCCAAGGACCATCCTGGCCACGGGATCATCCCAAGGACCCTCCTGGCCATGGAATCATCCCAAGGATCATCCTGGCCATGGGATCATTCCAAGGCTTTTCTGGGAACGTTCTCCTCCCTCCAGCAGGGATGGATCCCTCACCTTCTCGTTGAGCAGGATGAGGCCGAGCAGGGGCCGGGACATGGACCACTGGTTCCGGCAGTCCTCGAAGATGATGATGTTCAGCACCGTCGAGAGCATCTGGCACGGGGAGCCAAGGGTTAAAGGCAGCTCCTGCATCCCACCCATGGATCCTATCCCAATCCCACGGATCCCATGGATCCCATCCCATCCCAATCCTGTGGATCCCATGGATCTCATGGATCCCAAATCCCATCCCAATCCTGTGGATCCCATCCCATGGATCTCATGGATCCCAAATCCCATCCCACCCCATGGATCCCATGGATCAATCTCATGGATCCCATCCCAATCCTGTGGATCCCATGGATCCCATCCCAATACCATGGATCCCATGTATCTCATGGATCCCATTCCACTCCCATGGATCTCAGAGATCCCATCCCATGGATCCCAATGCCATGGATCCCATCCCATGGATCTCATGGATCCCAAATCCCATCCCAATCCTGTGGATCCCATGGATCCCATGGACCCCATCCCATGGATCCCAATGCCATGGATCCCATTCCATCCCAGTATCATGGATCTCATGGATCCCGAGTCCCATCCCATCGCAATACCATGGACCCCACAGATCTCATGGATCCCATCCCACCCCATGGATCTCATGGATCCCAAATCCCATCCCAATCCTGCAGATCCCATGGATCCCATCCCAATCCTGTGGATCCCATGGAGTTCATGGATCTCATCCCATCCCATGGATCCCAATGCCATGGATCCCATCCTATCCTAATCCCATGGATCCCATAGATCTCACCCCATCCCAATGCCATGGATCCCATCCCATGGATCTCATGGATCCCAAATTCCAGCCCATCCCATGGATCTCATGGATCCCATCCCATGGATCCCATTCCACTCCCATGGATCCCATGGATCCCATCCCAATGCCATGGATCCCATTCCATGGATCCCATTCCATCCCATCCCATGGATCCCAATCCCACCCCAAATCCCACCCAGCTCTCTCCTCGCTCTGGGAGGTGTATTTTTTACCCCCCCAGGTGTATTTTTTACCCCCCCCAGGTGTATTTTTTACCCCCCCAGGTGTATTTTTTACCCCCCCCAGGTGTAATTTTTGCCCCCCCAGGTGTATTTTTTACCCTCCCCAGGTGCATTTTGAAGCCCCCAGGTATATTTTTTACCCCCCCCCAGGTGGATTTTGGAGCCCCCCAGGTGTATTTTTTTACCCCCCCAGGTGTATTTTGGCCCCCCCAGGTACATTTTGGAGCCTGAGGTATATTTTGAAGCCCCCAGGTGCATTTTGAAGCCCCCCAGGTGTATTTTTTAACCCCCCAGGTGTATTTTTTACCCCCCCCAGGTGTATTTTTTAACCCCCGGGTGTATTTTTTACCCCCCCAGGTGTGCTGGGGCTGACCTGCTGGATCATCTCGGGGTGCTGCTGCATGATGTGCAGGAAGCGATCGCTCTCCTGCGCCAGCGGCGTCGATCTCTTCTTGGTGCTGCGCGAGAGCTGCTTGAACAGGTAGGTGACAATGTGGTCCAGGCAGGAGCAGCAGCCCGTGCACACCATGGTGTCTGAGGGGACAGGGGGGAAAAATGAGAGTTTTTAGGGGAAAAAATGGGGGTTTGGGGGAAAAAAAATGGGGGTTTTGGGGGGAATATGGGGAAAAATCGGGGAAAAAATGGGGAAAAAATGGGGGTTTGGGAAGGGAAAATGGGGGAGCAGGAGTAGCAGCCCGTGCACACCATGGTGTCTGAGGGGACAGGGGGAATAAATGAGAAGTTTTGGGGAAAATAATGGGGGTTTGGGGGAAAATAATGGGGGTTTGGGGAAAAAAAATGGGGGATTTGGGGGGAATAGGGGGAAAAATTGGGGAAAAAATGGGGAAAAAATGGGGGTTTGGGAAGGGAAAATGGGGGAAACAATGGGGGAAAAATGGAGGGGAAAATGGGGAAAAATGGGGATAAACAGGGAAAAAATGGGGGTTTAGGGGGAAAAATTAGGGTTTTAGGGGGAAAACCGACAAGTTTGGTAGAGGAAAAAAGGGAGTTTGGGGAAAAAAGAAAGGGGGGTTGGGAAAGGAAAATGGGGGAAAAAGAGGAGGGAAATGGGGGAAAAATAGGGGAAAAAATGAGGGTGGTTTGGGGGAAAAACCAGGGGTTTGGGAAGGGAAAATGAGGGAAAATGGGGAAAAATGGGGAAGGAAAGGGGTAAAAATGGGGATTTGAATGGGAAAAAAAAGAGGGTTTGGAGAGGAAAAAACACAAGTTTGGGGAAAAATGGGGGTTTGGGAAGGGAAAATGGGGGAAAATGGGGAAAAATGGGGGAAAAATGGGGAAACATGAGGGGAAAATGGGGGGAAGAATGGGGGAAAAATGGGAATTTGTATGGAAAAAATGAGGGTTTGGAGGGAAAAACAATGGAGGTTTGGGAAGGGAAAATGGGGGAAAAATGGCAGTTTGGGAGGGAAAATGGAAAAATGTGGAAATAGGGGGTTTTGGAGGAAAATAAAGTGGAAGCATCCAAGGCCAGGTTGGGATAATCTGGGACTGTGGGAGGTGTCCATGGGATTGGGACTGAAATCTTTTCCAACCCAAACCATCCCAAAATACCAACAATTCCCAGAACCCTTAATTTGTGGTGAGATCAGTGAAGGAACCACTGCTCCAAACTCCCCAAATCCCAGCTTCAAATTCCAAACCCTCACATGGAAATCCCCACATGGAAAATTCAAATCCCCGCATGGAAAATTCAAATCCCCACATGGAAAATTCAAATCCCCACACGGAAAATTCAAATCCCCACGCGGAAAATTCAAATCCCCACACGGAAAATTCAAATCTCCACGCGGAAAATTCAAATCTCCACACGGAAAATTCAAACCCCCACATGGAAAATTCAAATCCCCACATGGAAAATTCAAATCTCCACACGGAAAATTCAAATCCCCATGTGGAAAATTCAAATCCCCACATGGAAAATTCAAATTCCCACACGGAAAATTCAAATCCCCACACGTAAAATTCAAACCCCCACGTGGAAAATTCAAATCCCCACACGGAAAATTCAAACCCCTACGCGGAAAATTCAAATCCCCACACGGAAAATTCAAATCCCCACACGGAAAATTCAAACCCCTACGCGGAAAATTCAAATCCCCACATGGAAAATTCAAATCCCCACACGGAAAATTCAAATCCCCACACATAAAATTCAAACCCCCACGCGGAAAATTCAAATCCCCACATGGAAAATTCAAATCCCCACGCGGAAAATTCAAATCCCCACACAGAAAATTCAAATCTCCACGCGGAAAATTCAAATCCCCACATGGAAAATTCAAATCCCCACACGTAAAATTCAAACCCCCACGTGGAAAATTCAAATCCCCACATGGAAAATTCAAATCTCCACACGGAAAATTCAAATCCCCACGCGGAAAATTCAAATCCCCACACGTAAAATTCAAACCCCCACGTGGAAAATTCAAATCCCCACATGGAAAATTCAAATCCCCACATGGAAAATTCAAATCTCCACACGGAAAATTCAAATCGCCACATGGAAAATTCCAAACCCCACATGGAAAATGGGGTTTTTAACCCTGATTTATTTACAAATCCCAGAAAAATCCCACCCCAAATCCCAGGAAAGGCAGGAGGGAGCAGCAGGAGTTACCCAGCGCGGTGAGGCCCTCGGAGATGGAGGACAGGATGTACATGATGACGTGGGGCTCCAGGCTGGCGATGAAGTTCATGTGGTCCTGGGTGAGCACTTCCAGCAGGGAATAGTAGGATTGGCTGAGCTTGGGATAATCCTGAAGGAAAAGCAGGAAAAATCTGCTTGGTTTTGCTGGAAGCATCAAATTCCCAAATCCAGCCTGTCGTGAATCAGCTGGAATGTGCTGGTGATCTCCTGGGAAGAACTGAGCAAGGATTCTCCCTCCCAGAAATTTTGTATTCCAAGAGATTTCCCATTTCCTTCTCTTCCATTTCACCATTTCCCATTTTCCTTCTCTTCCTTCCCAACATTTCCCGTTTTCCTTCTCTCTCCCATTTCACCATTTCCCATTTTCCTCCTCTCCCATTCCAACATTTCCCGTTTTCCTTCTCTCTCCCATTCCAAAATTTTACTTCCCTCTCCCATTCCACCATTTCCCATTCTCCTTCTCTTCCATTCCAACATTTCCCATTTTCCTTCTCTCCCATTCTATTCCATGTTCCCAGTGCTGCTCCATCCACTAATTTTTCCCACTTTTTATTTTCCAAGGGAAAATCTGGGAATTGGGATGGAATTTCAAATCCATTCCAACCCAGACCATTCCATGATCCCATGAATTCAAACTGGATGGGGATTTCAAACCCATTCCCACCCAAAATTTGGGAATTATTCCTGTGCTTCTACTCCAACCCACAACCACAGGGACTGGAAATGGATAAGATTTAAAATCTATTGCAACCCAAAATCTGGGAATTGGGATGGGATTTCAAACCCATTCCTTCTCAGAATTTGGGAATTGGGATGGGATTTCCCACCCAAAATATGGGAACTGGGATGGGATATCAAATCCATTCCCACACAAACCATTCCATGACCCTTTAAATTCCAAACTGAATGGGATTTCAAACCCATTCCCACCCAGAATTTGGGAATTGTGATGGGATTTCAAACCCCTTTCCACCTAAAATGTGGGAATTGTGATGGGATATCAAACTCATTCCCACTCAAAATTTGGGAACTGGGATGGGATTTCCCACCTAAAATCTGGGAATTGGGATGGGATTTCCCACCCAAAATCTGGGAATTGGGATGGGATTTCAAACCCCTTCCCACCCAAAATCTGGGAATTCTTCCTGTGCTTCACCCAGAGCCTGCTGCCCATTCCCATCCCTGCCCCAAGCCCTTCATCCCTCCTTCCTCTCCTCCAGCTTCTCCTGGGATGGAATTCGAATTCCTGGGGATGGAACTGGAATTCCCAGGATGGAAATGGGATTGCCAGGATGGAACTGGAACTCCCAGGATGGAATTGCAATTCCCGGGATGGAATTGCAATTCCCAGGATGGAACTGGAATTCCCAGGGATGGAACTGGAATTCTGGGGATGGAATCAGGATTCCCAGGATGGAGTTGGGATTCCCAGGGATGGAACTGGGATTCCCAGGATGGAACTGGAATTCTGGGGACGGAACTGGGATTCCCAGGATGGAACTGGAATTCCCAGGACAGAACTGGGATTCCCAGGACGGAAATGGAACTCTGGGGACGGAACTGGAATTCCCAGGGATGAAACTGGGATTCCCAGGACGGAACTGGGATTCCCAGGATGGAATTGCGGGCAGCCTCACCAGCAGGTCGCTGTGGGGGATGGAGAGCAGCAGCTTGATGAAGGTCTGCAGCGCGTTGTCCAGCGCGTCGTCGCCGTAGAGCCGGAAGACGCCGAAGTTGACGTAGCTGCCGCTGAGCGCCGCCTTCAGCATGGAGAAGCAGATGGAGATTCCCTTCAGCTTCAGCGCGTACACCTGGTCCTTGGGCACCTCGCCCAGCGTCAGGATGCGATTCCCTGCGGGAATTCCGGCTCGGGATCACCACTCCCATCCCGCCCCCGGGGCTCCAAAGCCATTCCAACCCATTCCATCCAAACTGGATGGGATTCCAAATCCATTCCAACCCAATCCATCCCATTCCCTTCAGCTTCAGCACCTACACCTGGTCCTTGGGCACCTCGCCCAGCGTCAGGATGCGATTCCCTGCGGGAATTTCGGCTCGGGATCACTACTCCCATCCCGCCCCGGGGCTCCAAAGCCATCCCGACCCAAATCGTTCCATGATGCCACAAATTCCAAACAATTCAAATCCCTTGGAATGGATTTGAAATCCCATCCCAATTCCTCAGTTTCAGGTTGGAGTGGATTTGGAATCCCCTCCAATCCGAAACTGGGGAATTGGGATGGGATTCCAAATCCATTCCAAGCCAAAATCTGGGAACTGGGATGGGATTCCAAATCCATTCCAACCCAATCCATCCCATTCCCTTCAGCTTCAGCACCTACACCTGGTCCTTGGGCACCTCGCCCAGCGTCAGGATGCGATTCCCTGCGGGAATTCCGGCTCGGGATCACCACTCCCATCCCACCCCCGGGGCTCCAAAGCCATTCCAACCCAATTCTATCTAAACTAGACAAGATTTCAGATCCATTCCAAGCCAAAATCTGGGAACTGGGATGGGATTCCAAATCCACTCCAACCTGAAATCTGGGAATTATTTATGTGGTTCTTTTCCAACCCAAACCATTCTATCATCCAGGATGTGTCCAGGATTTATTCATGGATCAATCCAGGATGTTTTCAGGATGAATCCAGGATGTTTCCATGGATGAATCCAGGATTTTTCCATGATGAACCCAGGATGAACCTAGGATGTTTCCAGGATGAATCCCGGATTTATCCATGGATGGACTCAGTAGAATCCAAGATTTATCCATGGATAAATCCAGGATTTTTCCAGGATGAACCCATGATGAATCCATGGATGAACCCAGGATTTTTCCAGGATGAATCTATGGATGAATCCACGGTTGAATCCAGGTTTCTTCCAGTATGAACCCAGGATTTATACATGGATGAACCCAGCATGAATCCAGGATTTATTCATGGATGAATCCATGATTTTTCCAGGATGCTTTCAGGATGAATCCATGGATGAATCCATGATTTTTCCAGAACCTAGGATTTTTCCAGGACGAACCCAAGATTTTTCTGGGATGAACCCAAAATTTTTCCAGGATGAATCCATGGACTTTTCCAGGACGAACCCAGGATTTATCCATGGATGAATCCAGGATGTTTCCAGGAACGAATCCAGGATTTCTCCGGGATGTTTCCAGGATGAACCCAGTACAAATCCAGGATTTATCTGGGATTTTTCCAGGGGTGCACCCAGGCAGCTCCAGGACCCCTCACCGTAGGTCGTGATCATCTTGCTGGTCTCCCGGAAGAGCAGGATCCCGTTGGGAGAGGAGACATCGAACTGCAGCCGCTGGGACCTGCAGGAAATTAACAGGAATTCCTACCTGTTATAAATGGGAATTTGGGGGGAAAATGGGGGGGGGGAAATGGGGATTTGATGGGGGGGAAAATGGGGAAAAAATGGGGGAAAAAATGGGGATTTAGGGGAAAAAAAAGAGGGTTTTGGGGGCAACAACCACACAGGGAGGGATGAATGAACCCCTTCCAAAGCTCAGAATTCCACGAAATTTCAGGTTTTGGGGAATCTCCTACCTGTTATAAATGGGATTTGGGGGTGAAAATGGGGATTTGGGGAAAAAAATGAGGGTTTGGGGGACAACAGGGAGGGATGAAACAACGCCTCCCAAGGCTCAGAATTCCATGAAATTTCGGATTTTTGGGAATCTCCGACCTGTTATAAACTGGATTTAGAGGGGAAAATATGTTGATTCGATGGGGGGAAATGTGGAGAAACTGAGGATTTGGGGAAAAAATGGGGATTTAGGGAAAAACATGAGGTTTTTGGGGTAACAACCACAGAGGAAAAGATGACATAACCCCTCCCAAGGCTCAGAATTCCATGAAATTCCAGACTTTTGGAAATTCCTACCTGTTACAAACTGGATTTAGGAGGGAAAATGGGGGAAAAAATGGGGATTTAATGTGGGGGGAAATGGGGATAAAATGGGGATTGGGGAAAAAATGGGGATTTAGGGGAAAAAAAGAGAGTTTTGGGGGCAACAACCCCACAGGGAGGGATGAAACAACCCCTCCTAAGAATTCCAGGGAATCCCGGATTTTTGGGAATTCCTACCTGTTGTGGACCAGCTCAGCCATGAGTTTGAGCACGGGCGTGGTGCAGGCGGGGTCGTGGTACCAGAGCTCGATGGCTCTCTGCAGGATGGGCATGTACGAGGGGTAGCTGGGGGAATTAAGGAATTCCCGCTTTGCCAGGGCAGAAATCCCACGGGAACGGGGAATGGCAGGAGGGCAGCAGGGCAGGGAGAGGGTCAGGGGGACATGAGGGTGAAATTTGGGGTTTTTGGGGTTGTTGGTGGTGGTGGGGTTTTATACTGGGAAAAATCATCGGTGTGGGATCGCAGGAAATGGGATTTACAAAGAGTTCCTGGGATTCTGGGATCAGGATTTGGGATAAGAATCGGAATCAGGATTTGGGATCTCGATCGGGATTTGGGATCAGGATTCGGGATTTGGAATGGGATCAGGATGGGAATCAAGATTTGGGATGGGATCAGGATCAGAACTGGGATCAGGATTTGGGATGGGATCAGGATCAGGATTTGGGATGGGATCAGGATTGGGATTTGGGATGGGATCAGAATTTGGGATCAGGATCAGGATTTGAGATCAGGATTTGGGATCAGGATCAGAACTGGGATCAGGATTTGGGATGGGATCAGGATCAGGATTTGGGATCAGGATTTAGGATCAGGATTGGGGATGGGATCAGGATTGGGATTTGGGATGAGGATCAGAATTTGGGATCAGGATCAGGATTTGAGATAAGGATTTGGGATGGGATCAGGATTGGGATCAGGATTTGGGATCAGGATTTGGGACCAGGATTCGGGATTTGGGATGGGATCAGGATTGGGATCAGAATCGGAATCAGGATTTGGGATCTCGATCAGGATTTGGGATCAGGATTCGGGATTTGGAATGGGAACAATATTGGAATCAGGATTGGGATCGGGATTTGGGATGGGATCAGTATTTAGGATCAGAATCAGGATTTGGGATATCGATCAGGATTTGGGATTTGGATTTGGGATTTGGGATATCGATCAGGGTTTGGGATCAGGATCTTGATCAGGATTGGGATCAGGATTTGGGATTTAGGATGGGATCAGGACTGGGATCAGGATTGGGATCTTGATCAGGATATGGGATCAGGATCAGGACTGGAATCAGGATTTGGATCAGGATCAGGATTTGGGATCACAATCAGGATCAGGGTTGGGATCAGGATCAGGATTTGGAATCAGGATGTGGGATGGGGATTTGGGATCAGGATGGGAGCAGGATCAGGACTGGGATCAGGATTTGGGATCAGGATTTGGGACAGGATCAGGATTTGGGATGGGATTTGCGATCAGGATTGGGATCAGGATCAGGGTTTGGGATCAGGATTTGGGATGGGTTCAAGATGGGGATCAGGATCAAGGATCAGAACAGGAATCAGGATTTGGGATTTGCGATCAGGGTTTCAGATCAGGATTGGGATCAGGATTTGGGATCACAATCAGAATCACGATTTGGGATGGGATCAGGACTGGGATCAGGATTTGGGATCTAGATCAGGGTTTGTGATCAGGATTTGGAATCAGGATTGGGATCAGAATTTGGGATCAGGATTTAGGATCAGGATTTGGAATCAGAATTGGGATCAGGATTTGGGATCTCGATCAGGATCTCGATCAGGACTGGGATCAGGGTCAGGATTTGGGATGGGATCAGGACTGGGATCAGGATTTGGGATCTAGATCAGGGTTTGTGATCAGGATTTGGAATCAGGACCAGGATTTGGGGATCAGGATTGGAATCAGGATTCAGGATCAGGATCAGGATTTGGGATCAGAATCGGAATCAGGATTTGGGATATCGATCAGGATTTGGGATCAGGATCAGGATTTGGGATGAGGATACATCCACTCGAAGAGCATCATGAAGCTGGTCTTGGCGTTGAAGGCGAAGGCGATGCCCCGCAGGTCCCGCACCAACCCCACCAGCGTGCGCTGCGAGGGACGGAATGAAAAAATAAAATAAAATAAAATAAAATAAAATAAAATAAAATAAAATAGAAAAAATATAATAAATATAATAAAAATATAAGAAAGAATGGAATAAAATAGAACAATAAAAAAGAGTAAAATTCAGGCACCCCCAATTTCCACTAAACTGATCCCAAGGGATTCAGGAACCCCAATTCCCATTAAACTGATCCCAATTCCCATTAAACTGATCCTAAAGGACTCAGGAACCCCAATTCCCACTAAAGTGATCCCAATTCCCTCTGGACTGATCCCAATGGATTCAGGCACCCCCATTTCCCATCAAACTGATCCCAATTCCCATCAAACTGATCCCAAGGGATTCAGGATCCCAATTCCCATTAAACTGAGCCCAATTCCCTCTGGACCAATCCCAAGGGATTCAGGACCCCAATTCCCATTAAACTGACCCCAATTCCCACTAAACTGATCCCAAGAGATTCAGGAACCCCCAATTCCCTCTGGACCAATCCCAAGGGATTAAGGAATCCCCAATTCCCATCAAACTGATCCTAAAGGACTCAGGCACCCCCAATTCCCACTAAACTGATCCCAAGGGACTCAGGAACCCCTAATTCCCATCAAACTGACCCCAATTCCCTCTGGACTGATCCCAAAGGATTCAGGAACCTCAATTCCCATCAAACTGAGCCCAATTCCCATTAAACTGATCCCAAGGGATTCAGGAACCCAAATTCCCTCTGGACCAATCCCAAGGGATTCCAGCATCCCAATTCCCTCCTGGCCAGCTCCCACCATTCCAGCTTTGCTCCCAGAGCTGGGCACAGCTCCCTGCTCCCCCTGCCTGCCCCAAAACCCCAAATCCCACGGAAAAGATCCCAGAAAAAGCAGGAAAATGGGAATTGGGCCTGGCTGACCTTGGCCTCCTGCTCGTTGAAGGAGTTGGTGCTGAACATCTGAGCCACGGTCTCGAAGGCAGCGGTGAGGGGCAGCATGAACTGCTCGTACTGATCCTCGTCCTCCCCTGGAAAACAGGGAAAAATCATGGAAAAAACATGGGAAAAACATGGGAAAATCCCTCATGAACTGCTCAGACTGATCCTCATCCTCCCCTGGAAAACAGGGAAAAACATGGAAAAAACATGGGAAAAACATGGGAAAAACATGGGAAAATCCCTCATGAACTGCTCGTACTGATCCTCGTCCTCCCCTGGAAAACATGGAAAAACATGGAAAAAACATGGGAAAAACATGGGAAAAACATGGGAAAATCCCTCATGAACTGCTCGTACTGATCCTCGTCCTCCCCTGGAAAACAGGGAAAAATCATGGAAAAAACATGGGAAAATCACTCATGAACTGCTCGTACTGATCCTCGTCCTCCCCTGGAAAACATGGAAAAAACATGGGAAAAACATGGGAAAAACATGGGAAAAACATGGGAAAATCCCTCATGAACTGCTCAGACTGATCCTCATCCTCCCCTGGAAAACAGGGAAAATCATGGAAAAAACATGGGAAAAACATGGGAAAATCCCTCATGAACTGCTCAGACTGATCCTCATCCTCCCCTGGAAAACAAGGAAAAATCCATGGGAAATCCATGGGAAAATCTATGGAAAAAATTGCCCATGAACTGCTCGTACTGATCCTCATCCTCCCCTGGAAAACATGGAAAACATGGAAAAAAATCCATGGAAAAATCACTCATGAACTGCTCATACTGATCCTCATCCTCCCCTGGAAAACAAACATGGAAAATCCATGGAAAAATCTCCCATGAACTGCTCGTACTGATCCTCATCTTCTCCTGGAAAACAGGGAAAAATCCATGGAAAAATCCATGGAAATCCATGGGAAAACATGGAAAAACCTGTGGAAAAATCCATGGAAAACCATGGCAAAAACATGGGAAATCCCCCATGAACTGCTTGTATTGATCCTCATCCTCCCCTGGAACACAGGGAAAAACATGGAAAAATCCATGTGAAAATCATGGGAAAATATGAAAAATCCATGGGAAAACATGGAAAAATCCATGGGAAATCATGGAAAAAACATGGAAAAATCCATGAAAAAATTCCCCATGAACTGCTCATACTGATCCTTGTCCTCCCCTGCAAAAACATGGGAAATCCAGGGAAAATTTATCCCCAAATCTTGTTGGGATGGGAAATTGACCCCAAATCTTATTGGGATTTCAACCCCCAGTTTTGGGGATTTTTCAATCCCCAGTTTTGGGATGGGAAAAATTTTTTCCCAACTTTTGGTTGGATGGAAAAATTTCACCCCCATTTTCACGGGATAATTCCCCTCACCAACCCCAACTCCCGATTTTCCATTCCCCCACCCCAACCCCCTTCAACCTGGCGAATCTCCACCTCCCTAAATCCCACAATCCGCTTCCCAAAAGCCGGAATTCCGCGGGAATTTCCCAGGAAAAAATTACCTAAATCCACCATGAGGAGCCGCCCCAGGGCCGTGTAGAACGTGGTGCGGCAGCGCATGTCCGTCAGGTTGGACTGGTTGTTGATGCCCAGGAAGGAAAAGTGCTCGCTCTGGAAAAAGGAAAAATTGGGATGAGGTGAGGAGGGAAAAAAATTCCCACATGGAAAAGGGGATTTTTCCAGAGAAAAAGCGGGAAAATCTGGTGGGAAATGAAGAAATCTCTTTTTTCCAAGCTTGGGTTGGACTGGTTGTTGATGCTCAGGAAGGAAAAGTGCTCGCTCTGGAAAAAGGAAAAATTGGGATGAGACGAGGAGGGAAGAGCCCCAGGAATAAATTCCCACACGGAAAAGGGGATTTTTCCTACTATTTTTCCAGAGAAGAAGCGGGAAAATCTGATGGGAAATGGAGAAATCTGGTTTTTCCAAGCTTGGCTTGGACTGGTGATGCCCAGCAAGGAAAAGTGCTCACTTTGGAAAACGAAAAAATTGGGATGAGGCGAGGAGGGAAGAGCTCCAGGAAAAAATTCCCACATGGAAAAGGTGATTTTTTCCCAGAGAAAAAGCGGGAAAAATCTGGTGGGAAATGGAGAAATTTGGTTTTTCCAAGCTTGGGTTGGACTGGTTGTTGATGCCCAGGAAGGAAAAGTGCTCACTCTGGAAAAGGAAAAATTGGGATGGGGTGAGGAGGGAAAAAAATTCCCACATGGAAAAGGGGATTTTTCCAGAGAAAAAGCGGGAAAAATCTCCAGAAATCTTGTTTTTCCAAGCTTGAGACGGATCCCGAGCATCCAGAATCCCAAATATTCATTGGGTTTGGTGGAATGATGGAATTCTGGAGCCTGCAGCATTCCCAGAGCCAGTTTTCTGGGAATCCCAATCCCAATTTTCTCTCTCCCCCCTGGAATTCCCAGGGCCTGGGTTACTCAGGGAGTTGGGAAATTTATGGTTTTTTTCCAAGGACAACCCAAATTTTGCAAATCTCAGCTTGGGGAGAGCCTCGGTGAAAAACTCAGGAACTTCTGGAATTCTTGGGAAAACACTTCCAAGGACAGGGGAATTGCAGGGGAATTGCAGGAATTCTGGCTCTGCCTCTGAGATGGGAATCCTTCAGGTTGATTCCTGGTTGTTTTCCATGGAAAAATGTAATTCCAGGCTGGGAATTGGGGCTGAAATCCCTTGGAATGCCTGGAGAACATCCCTGGGAATGCTTGGAAAACATCCTGGAAACTCCAGGAATTCCTGGGAAACATCCTGGAAATTATCCCTGAACTCCAGGAATGCCAAGAAAACATTCCAGGAATTGCCTGGAAAACCTCCCTTAATTCCAGAAATTCCTGGAAAACATCCTGGGAACTCCTGGAAATGCCTGGGAATCATCCCTGAACTCCAGGAATTCCTGGAAAACATTCCAGGAAATGTCTGGAAAACTTTGCTGGAATTGCCTGGAAAATCTCCCTTAATTCCAGGAATTCCTGGAAAACATTATGGGAACTCCAGGAATTCTTGGAAATGCCTGGAAATTATCCCTGAACTCCAGGAATTCCTCAAAATCATCCCTGAACTCCAGGAATGCCTGGAAAACATTGTTGGAATTGCCTGGAAAACCTCCCTTAATTCCAGGAATTCCTGGAAAACATCCTGGAAATTATCCCTGAACTCCAGGAATGCAGGGAAAACATCCCTGGAATTGCCTGGGAATCATCCCTGAACTCCAGGAATGCCTGGAAAACTTTGCTGGAATTGCCTGGAAAACATTCCTGGAATTGCCTGGAAAACCTTCCTTAATTCCAGGAATGCCTGGAAAACATCCTGGAAATAATTCCTGAACTCCAAGAATGCAGGGAAATCATCCTGGGAACTCCAGGAATGCCTGGAAATCATCAATGAACTGCAGGAATTCCTGGGAAACCTCCTGGAAATCATCAATGAACTGCAGGAATTCCTGGAAAACCTCCTGGAAATCATCAATGAACTGCAGGAATTCCTGGGAAACCTCCTGGAAATCATCCCTGAACTGCAGGAATTCCTGGAAAACCTCCTGGAAATCATCCCTGAACTGCAGGAATTCCTGGGAAACCTCCTGGAAATCATCAATGAACTGCAGGAATTCCGGGAAAACCTCCTGGAAATCATCAATGAACTGCAGGAATTCCTGGGAAACCTCCTGGAAATCATCCCTGAACTGCAGGAATTCCTGGGAAACCTCCTGGAAATCATCAATGAACTGCAGGAATTCCTGGGAAACCTCCTGGAAATCATCCCTGAACTGCAGGAATTCCTGGGAAACCTCCTGGAAATCATCAAGGAACTGCAGGAATTCCTGGGAAACCTCCTGGAAATCATCAACGAACTGCAGGAATTCCTGGAAAATCTCCCTGAACTCCAGGATTGCAAAGCCTCTGGAATTGCTGCTGGGATTGGGAACGGCATGGAACGGAACCCTGGAATGCTTTAGGTTGGAAGGGACCTCAAATCTCATATTCCCACTAACCCAGGCTGGGAATTTTCCAGGAATGAGCTTGGAATTCACGGAGAGCAAAAATCTTTGGGAATGGGGAAGCGTCACCAAACGCCACCCCCTAAAAACCAAAATATTCCACCAAAAAAACCCCAATTTTCCAGAGGTTCCTCCAGCACCACAGAAACCCAGGAGGGAGATGGAATTCCAGAGGGGATCTGGGATGGAATTTTGCTGGGAATTTTGCTGGGAATTTTGCGGGAGCTCACCGTGTGATTGTTGAGCATGAACTGCACGGCGCTGAGCTTCACCAGCTTCCGCACGCTGCTGTACGTGCAGGGCGTCAAGGAAGAGACACAAAATCCTGGAATTGCTGGAATTCCCAGAAAAATCCATGGGATTTTTCCAGGGAAAGGCTGGAAAAATTGGATTGGGGCAGGTTCATTCAGGAAATTGGGAAATTTATGTTTTTTTCTAAGGATAATCCAAATTTTGTAAATCTCGGCTTGGGGAGACGTCCTGGGGAAAAACTCGGGGTCTGGAAGTTGTGGAATTCCTGGGAATTCTGGAATTCATGGAAAACACTTCCAGGGCCAGGCTGGAAAAATGGGATTGGGTCTGGATTATTCAGGAAATTGGGAATTTCATGTTTGTTCCAAGGATAACCCAAATTGTGCAAATCTGGGCTTGGGGAGAGCCTTGGTGATCTCTGGGGAAAAACTCGGGGTCTGGAAGTTGTGGAATTCCTGGAAATTCTGGAATTCATGGAAAACACTTCCAGGGAAAGGCTGGAAAAATGGGATTGGGCTTGGATTACTCAGGAAATTGGGAAATTTATGTTTTTTTCTAAGGATAATCCAAATTTTGTAAATCTCGGCGTGGGGAGACGTCCTGGGGAAAAACTCAGGGTCTGGAAGTTGTGGAATTCCTGGAAATTCAGGAATTCCTGGGAAACACTTCCAGGGACAGGTTGGAAGCACAGGATTGGGCTCAGGAAATTGGGAATTGCCTGGATTATTCAGGAAATTGGGAATTTCATGTTTGTTCCAAGGATAATCCAAGCTGTGCAAATCTCAGCTTGGGGAGAGCCTTGGTGACCCCTGGGGAAAAATTCCGGGTCTGAAAGTTGTGGAATTCCTGGAAATCCTGGAATTCATGGAAAAAACACTTCCAGGGAAAGGCTGGAAAAATGGGATTGGGTCTGGATTACTCAGGAAGTTGGGAAATTTATGTTTTTTTCTAAGGATAATCCAAATTTTGTAAATCTCCACTTGGGGAGAGCCTTGGTGACCACTGGGAAAAATTCGGGGTCTGGAAGTTGTGGAATTCCTGGGAATTCTGGAATTCCTGGAAAACACTTCCAGAGCCAGGCTGGAAAAATGGGATTGGGCCTGGATTGTTCAGCAAATTGGGAATTCTGTCTGGTTCTCAATAAATTGGGAATTCTCTTCTGTTTGTTCCAAGGATAAACCAAATTGTGCAAATCTCGGTGTGGGGAAAAAAACCCAGGAGCTTGTGGAATTTCTGAAACCTCTGGAACTCCTGGAACTTGTGGAATTCCTGGAAAACACTTCCAGAGCCGGGCTGGAAAAATGGGATTGGGGCTGGATTACTCAGGAAGTTGGGAATTTTTGGTTTGTTCCAAGGATAATCCAAATTGTGCAAATCTCGGTGTGGGGAAAAAACCCCAGGAACTTGTGGAATTTCTGAAACCTCTGGAATTCCTGGAACTTGTGGAATTTCTGAAACCTCTGGAATTCCTAAAACTCGCGGAATTCCTGGAAAACCAGAAGACAAAACCGCTACCTCCCCGTGGAAGCTCAACTCCAAAGGAATTCTGACCCCAAACAGCCCAAAATCAACAACACCCCGCCAGCCTCATCCCGCCCTCCTCTCCCCTCATTCCCAAAAATCCGGGGGAAAAGCAGGAATGTGGGGCTGCTCCCATTCCAGCAGAACTTCGGGATGGCTTTTCCCAAGGATTTGGGAGCCCTTCCCAAAAGGATATCCAATGGAGAGGTCGTTGAGCAGCTGCAGGGTCTTGGACGTGATCGGCTCGCAGCGGCCCCAGTACTTCAGGTTGGTGATGCTGGGAAGGAAAAAACATGGATCAGAGGGAATTTTATGGGATTTTTCCGGGATTTTTCTGGGAATCGTGGTTGATTTTCCCGTCTCCCGATAGCACGGAGCGTAAAATTGGGAATGAAACCATCGGGATCGTGTTTGGCAGGGAAAATTGTCCTGTGGAAATGCCGGAGCCCAGGATAGACCTGGAATTCTGTGGGATTGGTTACACCTGGAATTCTGTGGGATTGGCTGCACTGGAATTCTGTGGGATCAGTTACACCTGGAATTCTGTGGGATCCCAGGGTACACCTGGAATTTGTGGGATTGGCTGCCCTTGGAATTCTGTGGGATTGGTTACACCTGGAATTTGTGGGATTGGCTGCCCTTGGAATTCTGTGGGATTGACTACACCTGGAATTTCTGGGATTGGCTGCACCTGGAATTGTGGGATCCTAGGGTACACCTGGAATTCTGTGGGATTGGCTGCACTGGAATTTCTGGGATTGGTTACACCTGGAATTGTGTGGGATTGGCTGCCCTTGGAATTCTGTGGGATTGGTTACACCTGGAATTCTGTGGGATTGGCTGCACTGGAATTTCTGGGATTGGTTACACCTGGAATTTCTGGGATTGGCTGCACCTGGAATTGTGGGATCCTAGGGTACACCTGGAATTCTGTGGGATTGGTTACATCTGGGATTCTGTGGGATTGGTTTCAGCTGGAATTTCTGGGATTGGTTACACCTGGAATTCTCTGGGATCCCAGGGTACATCTGGAATTTCTGGGAATGGCTGCCCTTGGAATTCTGTGGGATCGGTTACACCTGGAATTCTGTGGGATTGGTTACACCTGGGATTCTGTGGGATCGGTTACACTTGGAATTCTGTGGGATCGGTTACACCTGGAATTCTGTGGGATCGGTTACACCTGGAATTCTGTGGGATTGGCTGCATCTGGAAATTCTGGGATTGGCTACACCTGGAATTCTGTGGGATTCCAGGCCCCTGGGATTCTGCAGGATTGGTTGCCCTTGGAATTTCTGCGGGATTGGCTGCACCTGGAATTGGTTACATCTGGAATTCTGTGGGATTTGCTACACTTGGAATTTCTGGGATTGGCTGCACATGGAATTGTGGGATCCTAGGGTACACCTGGAATTCTGTGGGATTGGCTGCACTGGAATTTCTGGGATTGGTTACACCTGGAATTGTGTGGGATTGGCTGCCCTTGGAATTCTGTGGGATTGGTTACACCTGGAATTCTGTGGGATTGGCTGCACTGGAATTTCTGGGATTGGTTACACCTGGAATTTCTGGGATTGGCTGCACCTGGAATTGTGGGATCCTAGGGTACACCTGGAATTCTGTGGGATTGGTTACATCTGGGATTCTGTGGGATTGGTTTCAGCTGGAATTTCTGGGATTGGTTACACCTGGAATTCTCTGGGATCCCAGGGTACATCTGGAATTTCTGGGAATGGCTGCCCTTGGAATTCTGTGGGATCGGTTACACCTGGAATTCTGTGGGATTGGTTACACCTGGGATTCTGTGGGATCGGTTACACTTGGAATTCTGTGGGATCGGTTACACCTGGAATTCTGTGGGATCGGTTACACCTGGAATTCTGTGGGATTGGCTGCATCTGGAAATTCTGGGATTGGCTACACCTGGAATTCTGTGGGATTCCAGGCCCCTGGGATTCTGCAGGATTGGTTGCCCTTGGAATTTCTGCGGGATTGGCTGCACCTGGAATTGGTTACATCTGGAATTCTGTGGGATTTGCTACACTTGGAATTTCTGGGATTGGCTGCACATGGAATTCTGTGGGATTGCAGGCCCCTGGGATTCTGTGGGATTGGTTATACCTGAAATTTCTGGGATTGGTTACACCTGGAATTCTCTGGGATCCCAGGTTACACTTGGAATTTTGTGGGATTGGTTATACCTGGAATTCTTTGGGATCCCAGGTTACATCTGGAATTGTGTGGGATTGGCAGCACCTGGAATTTCTGGGACTGGCTACACCAGGAATTCTGTGGGATCCCAGCTTCCACCTGGAATTTCTGGGGTTGGCAGCGCCTGGAATTCTGTGGGATTGGTTACACCTGGAATTCTATGGAATTGGCTGCACCTGGAATTTCTGCGATTGGCTCCACCTGGAATTCTGAGGGATTCCAGGACCCTGAAATTCTGTGGGATTGGGTGCACCTGGAAATCTGTGGGATTGGTTACATCTCGAATTTCCAGGATTGGCAGCACCTGGAATTCTGTGGGACTGGTTATACCTGGAATTTCTGGGATTGGTTACAGTTGAGATTCTGTGGGATTCCAGGCCTCTGGGATTCTGTGGGATTGGTTACAGCTGGAATTTCTGGGATTGGTTACACTTGGAATTTTTGGGATTGATTGGTTAAACCCAGAATTCTGTGGGATTCCAGGCCCTTGAAATTTTGTGGGATTGGCTACACCTGGAATTTCTGGGATTGGTTACACCTGGAATTCTCTGGGATTCCAGGCCTCTGGGATTCTGTGGGATTGGTTACACCTGGAATTTCTGTGGGACTGGCTGCCCTTGGAATTTCTGGGATTGGTTACACCTGGAATTCTGGGATTGGCTGCACTGGAATTTCTGGGATTGGTTACACCTGGAATTCTGGGGGATTCCAGGCCCCTGAAATTCTGTGGGATTGGTTACACCTGGAATTTCTAGGATTGGCCACACCTGAAATTTCTGGGATTGACTGCACCTGGAATTTGTGGGATTGGTTACAGCTGGAATTTCTGGGAATGGTTACACATGGAATTCTGTGGGATTGGCTACACCTGGAATTTTTGTGGCATTTTTGTGGCACTTTTGTGGAATTCCTGGGATTTGGAAAATCCCATCCTAAACTCCCTGAGCTCCCTAAACCCCTCCCAGGAGCAGCAGCAGCGATCCCAGGTTTTTGGGGTGAGGAATTCCAGGATTCCAGGAATTCCGGAATTCCAGGAATTCCAGGAATGCTGCAGGCCACTCACATCTTCCCGATGAACACGCTCAGCACCATGGTCTCGTCGTTCAGCCCCAGCACCTCCGACAGCCTCCGGTACAGCTGCCAAAAAAAAAACACGGAAAAAAGAATTCCAAACTGCCAGGAAAACTGGGAATTCTCCCCAAAAAATCTGATTTCAGGAGAAATCATAGAAAATGGGATTTAATTCTGGGAGAAATTACAGAAAATTTGATTTAATTCCAGGAGAAATCCCAAAAAAATGGGATTTAATTCCAGGAAGAAATCACAGAAAATGAGATTTAATTCTGGGAGAAATCACAGAAAATTTGATTTAATTCTGGGAGAAATCCCAGAAAATGGGATTTAATTCCAGGAGAAATCCCAGAAAATGGCATTTAATTCTGGAGAAATACAACTGCAGCTAAAATGCGGAGAAATCACAGAAATGGGATTTAATTCCGGAGAAATCCCAGAAAATGACATTTAATTCCAGGAAAAAATCCCAGAAATGGGATTTAATTCCAAGAAGAATCACAGAAAATGGGATTTAATTCAGGGAGAAATCCCAGAAAATGGGATTTAATTCCAGGTAAAACGAGGAGAAATCCCAGAAATGGGATTTAATTCAAGGAAGAATCCCAGAAAATGGGATTTAATTTCAGAAGAAATCACAGAAAATGGGATTTAATTCCAGGAAGAATCACAGAAAATGGGATCTAATTCCAGGGGAAATCACAGAAAATGGGATTTAATTTTAGGAGAAATCCCAAAAATGGAATTTAATTCTGGGAGAAATTACAGAAAATGGGATTTAATTTCAGGTCAAATGAGGAGAAATCATAGAAACGTGATTTAATTGCAGGAGAAATCCAGAAAATGACATTTAATTCCAGGAAAAATTAGATAAAATCCCAGAAATGGGATTTAATTCCAGGAAGAATCCAGAAAACGGGATTTAACTCCACATCAAATGGGAAGAAATCACAAAAATGGGATTTATTTTGAGGAAACACGACGAGAACTGACAGAAAACGGGAGTGAATTGCAGGTAAATGAGGAGAAGGGAATGACTGAGGGCTGGTTTTCCGGGGGAAAGGGGGAATTTTTGGGAATTTGGGAATTGCGCCCACCTTGGAGGATTTCTGCACCTGGTCCCCGATGTAGATCTTGCGGAACTGCTCGAAGAAGCTGAGCATGGCCAGCTCCAGCTTCTCATTGCCCGCCTGCGCCAGGCGGGAGTCGGTCAGGTTCATCAGCTGCAGCACCCTGGGGGGAAAGGGGGAAGGGAAGGGGGAAAGGGGAGAAAAGGGGGAAATGGGGAAAAGGAAAGGGGGAAAAGGGGGAAAGGGAAGGGGGAAGAGTGGGGGAAAGGGGGGGGGAAGGGGGAAGGAAAAGGGGGGAAATGGGTGAGAAAAAGGGGAAAGGGGGAAGGAAAAGGGGGGAAATGGGCGAGAAAAAGGGGGAAATGGGGGAAAGGAAAGGGGGAAATGGGGGAAAGAAAGGGGGAAAGGGAAGGGGGAAATGGGGGAGAAAAAGGGGGAAATGGGGGGAAGGAAAGGGGGAAAAGGGGGGAAAGGAAAGGGGGAAAAGGTGGGAAAGGAAAGGGGGAAAGGAAGGGGGGGAAAGGAAAGGGGAAAAGGGGGAAAGGAAAGGAAAGGGGGAAAGGAAAGATGGAAAAGGAAAGGGGGGAAGGGGAAAAGGAAAGGGGGAAGAGCGGGGGAAAGGGGGAAAGGAAAGGGGAAAGGAAAAGGGAAAAGAGGGGGAAGGTAAAGAGGAAAAGGGGGAAGGAGAGGGAGAAAAGGAAAAGGGAGAAGTGGGAGAAAAGGTGGAAAGGAAAGGGGGGAAAAGGGGGAAAGGAAAGGGGGAAATGGGGGAGAAAAAGGGGGGAAATGGGGGAAAGGAGAGGGGAAAAGGGGGAAAGGAAAGGGGGAAGAGTGGGGAAAGGAGGGGGGAAGGGGGAAGGAAAAGGGGAAAGGAAAGGGGGAAGGTAAAGAGGAAAAGGGGGGAAGGAAAGGGAGAAAAGGTGGGAAAGGAAAGGGGAAAAGGGGGAAAGAAAGGGGGAAAGGAGAAGGGAGAAAGGAAAGGGGGGAAAGGGGGAAAAGGAAAGGGGGAAGAGTGGGGGAAAGGAAAGATGGGAAAGGAAAGGGGGAAAGGGGGAAAGGAAAGGGGGAAAAGAGAGGGAAGGTAAAGAGGAAAAGGTGGGAAGGGAAGGGAAGGGAAAACAGAAAAAGGGGGAAAGAAGAGGAGAAGTGATAGAAAAGTGGGAAAAATGGGGGAGAAAACCGGGGAAAGACGGGGGGAAAGAAGAAGAAAATGGGGAGAAAGGAGGGGGAATGGGGAGAAGAAAATAAATGGGGGAAGAAATGGGAGAAAAGGGGAAAAAGGTTGAAGGGGAAAAAAAGGAAGAGAAAAGGAGGAAAAGGTGAAAAAGGGGACAAGAGGGAGAAGAGGACAAGGGAGAAGAAAGGGGGTTTTTCTTGGTTAAAACCTGAATTTCCACTGGATTTCAGTCCCAAAAATCCAGTTAATGCCATGATAAAATCTGAACTTTCCAAGCCAATATTCCCCAATAATTATTCCCAGTGGGAATAGTCCCAATAATCCCAGTGTTTCCAAGCCCAACATTCCAAATAACTCCCAGTATTTCCATGCCAAATATTCCCTAATCAATAATTAATGAACAATTCCTTTTTCTACCCAAATTCCCACTGGGAATCAGCAGCAGCACCCAGCGCCCTCCATCCCTTTCCAGTTGGATTTCCCACTGGAATCAGAGCTGGAAAAATGGGAATAACGCTCTCCCAGCTTTCTGGGAATGGGATTTGCTGGAATATCCCAGGTGAATTTAATGGAATATCCCAGGTGGGTTTTCTTTGGATATCTTGGATGGATTTTACTGGAATTCCCTAGGTGGATTTTTCTGGGATATCCTGGGTGGATTTAATGGAATATCTGGAATATCCCAGGTGGATTTAATGGAATACCCTGGCTGGGTTTAATGGGATATCCTGGGTGGATTTTTCTGGGACATCCTGGGTGGATTTGGCTGGAATATTCCAGGTGGGTTCTGCTGGAATATCCATGTGGATTTAATGGAATATCCCAGGTGGATTTTGTTGGAATTCTCAGGTGGATTTTTCTGGGATATCCCGGGCGGATTTTCTGGAATATCCCGTGTGGATTTAATGGAATATCCTGTGTGGATTTAATGGAATATCCTGGGTGGATTTAATGGAATATCCTGGGTGGATTTAATGGAATATCCTGGGTGGATTTAATGGAATATCCTGTGTGGATTTAATGGAATATCCTGGGTGGATTTAATGGAATATCCGGGGTGGATTTTGGTGGAATATCCCAGGTGGATTTAATGGAATTTCCCAGTGGATTTTGGTGGAATTCCCAGGTGGATTTTGCTTGGAATTTCCTGGGTGGATTTTTCTGGGATGTCTTTGTGAATTTTGCTGGAATCCCTGGATGGATTTTCCTGGAATATCCCAGGTGGATTTTTCTGGGATATCCTGGATGGATTTTCCTGGAATATCTGGAACATCCTGGGTAGATTTTGCTAGAATTCCCGGCTGGATTTTGCTGGAATATCTCAGTGGATTTTCCTGGAATTCCTGGATGGATTTTGCTGGAATTCCTGGATGGATTTTCCTGGAATTCCTGGATGGATTTTCCTGGAATTCCCAGTGGATTCCCCTGCAGTTCCCTACCTGCAGACCAGCTCTCCGTCCATGGCGTCCTGCTCGTCCGTGCTGGCGAAGGACACGCGGCCGCCGATGACGGCGCCGATGATGTACACCAGCCACGTCAGCCGCCCTGGGGACACACAGGGGACACCAGGGGACACTGTCAGGGGTGCCACCCGCCCTGGGCACACACAGCGACCACCCCATGGCAAAAGAATTCACAAATAAATCCATTTTTCCCCAAATAAATCCATTTTTCCTAAAATAAATCCATTTTTTCCCTCAGAAAAGTCACGGTTGCAGTGGTCATAGGGCGAGGAACCTTGTCCTCTCCTGGGACACACTGGGGACATTTCAGAGCTGTCACCTCCCCTTTTCGAGGCCATCTTGCCCAAAATAAATCCATTTTTCTCCCAGAATAAATCAGTTTTTCCCAAAGTAAATAAATTTTTTCCCTTGGAAAAGTCTCAGTTTTAGTGGCCACAGGGTGAGGAACCTCATTCTGCCCCGGGGACACCAGGGGACACTGTCAGGGGTGCCACCCACCCTGGGCACGCACAGCTGGCACCACGTGGCAAAAGAAATCCCAAATAAATTATTTTTTCCAAAATAAATCCATTTTCCCCCTGGATAATGGAATGAGCTGCAGGACAGCACCATCTCCAGCCAGTGAGGAGGGGCAAATCCACACCCAGAGCCCAGAGCAGGGAAAAGAGGGATGGGATTGATGGGATGGGATGGGATTGATGGGATCCATGGGATGGGATTGATGGGATCCATGGGATGGGATTGATGGGATGGGATGGGATCCATGGGATGGATTGATGGGATCCATGGGATGGGATTGATGGATCCATGGGATGGGATTGATGGGATGGGATTGATGGGATCCATGGGATGGGATTGATGGGATCCATGGATGGGATTGACGGGATGGGATGGGATCCATGGGATGGGATTGATGGGATCCATGGGATGGGATTGATGGGATGGGATGGGATCCATGGGATGGGATTGATGGGATCCATGGGATGGGATTGATGGGATGGGATGGGATCCATGGGATGGGATTGATGGGATCCATGGGATGGGATTGATGGGATGGGATGGGATCCATGGGATGGGATTGACGGGATGGGATGGGATCCATGGGATGGGATTGATGGATCCATGGGATGGGATTGATGGGATGGGATGGGATCCATGGGATGGGATTGATGGGATCCATGGGATGAGATGGGATGGGATGGGATGGGATCCATGGGATGGGATGGGATCTATGGGATCCATGGGATGGGACTGGATCCATGGATGGGATCCATGGGATGGGACTGGATCCATGGGATGGGATCCATGGGATGGGATCCACAGGATGGGATCCACGGGATGGACGGGGAACACCTTCCTAACTTCAACAGGAAGGCAAGGGAACATCCTAAATTTCCCCAAATCCTGGAATCCCTCCTCTCAGCAAGGGATTCTCCAGGAACAAAACCCTCTGGAAGAATAATTCCTTTGGGAAGGAGCTCCCACCCCATGGCCAAGCTGACCCTCCTGCACAGCCAGGTCCATGGGGCTGGCGCTGGAGCTCTGATGGGATGGGATCCACAGGATTTGGGATCCATGGGATGGGATTTGCGATGGGATTGGGATCCATGGGATGGGATCCATTGGACTGGATCCATTGGATGGGATTTGGATCCATGGGATGGGATTGGGATCCATGGAATGGGATCCATGGGATCCACTGGATGGGATTTGGATCCATGGGATGGGATTTATGACAGGATTTGGGATCCATGGGATGGGATTGGGATCCATGGAATGGGATCCATGGGATCCACTGGATGGGATTTGGATCCATGGGGTGGGATGGGATGAGATGGGGATGGGCAGCACTGGATAGGGAACCCCTCCCAAGGAGCAACCACACCATCCTTCCACTCTGCAGGGATTTTCCAGGCCAATTCCTTTGGGAAGGAGCCCCCATCCCTGTCCAGGCTGACCTTCCTGCACGGCCAGGTCCATGGGGCTGGTGGTGCCACTGATGAGATGGGATCCATGGGATGTGATTGGGATCCATGGGATGGGATCCATTGGATGAGATTTGGATCCATGGGATGGGATTTATGATAGGACTGGGACTGATGGGATGAGATGGGATTGGGATCCATGGGATGGGATGGGATGGGCAGCACTGGATGGAGAACCCCTCCCAAGGAGCAACCACACCATAGGGAGGGATGCACAGAGGGATGCCGCTCCTCTGCAGGGACTTCCCAGGCCAGTTCCCTTGGGAAGGAGCCCCCATCCCCTGTCCAGGCTGACCTTCCTGCACGGCCAGGTCCATGGGGCTGGTGGTGCCATTGATGGGATGGGGTCCATGGGATGGGATTGGGATGGGATTTGGGATGGGACTGGGATCCATGAGATGAGATTGGGATCCATGGGATGGGATTTGGATCATGGGATGGGATTTATGGTAGGACTGGCATTGATGGGATGGGATGGGATGGGCAGCATTGAACAGGGAGCAACCACACCAAGGAGCAACCACACCATCCCTCCCCTCTGCAGGGACTTCCCAGGCCAGTTCCCTTGGGAAGGAGCCCCCATCCCCTGTCCAGGCTGACCTTCCTGCACGGCCAGGTCCATGGGGCTGGCGCTGGCGCTCTGCAGCAGCTCCTGGTAGGACTGGGCGGCCTGGTCGAAGAGCTGCACCAGCAGCGCGCACGTCTTCTCGTACTCGCAGCGCCCGATGGTGGACAGCTGGTCCAGCTGCTGCTGCACCAGCCCCGTGTCCTCCAGAGGGTCCTCCAGGCCATCCCTGCAAAAAGCACACGGAAAATGGAGCAGGGAACTCCCAGGAGCAGCAGGTCCCTGGTTTCACTGACAAGAGATGTGGGTGGAATTCACACAACTGTGGAATGGTTTGGTTTTCCCCACAGGATTTGGGTGGGAAAAGGTTTCGAGCACCTTCCATTGGACAACATCTTTAATGGCCTGCTTGCCAAATTAACCAGGAATTTCAGAGCACGTTGTTGTGAGTAAATTCCCAGTGCTTCCAGAAGGAAAAAAGAATGAAAACAAAGGAGGGAGTTACAATTTGTGTTGTTGGATTTAAGTTTTTGCCACAGAATTTGGACTGGAAGGTTTAAAGCTCAGTTCCTTCCACTGACCTTTAATGGCCTGGTTGCTAAATTAACCAGGAATTTCAGTGCACATTGTTGGGAGCAAATTCCCAGTGCTTCCACAGGGGAAAAGAAGAGGAAAACAAAGCAAGGAGTTATGACTTGTGCTGTCTCACTTGAGTTTTTCCCACAGAATTTGGCCTGGAATTGTTTAATGCTCAACTTGCTGCACCTTCCATTGGACAACATCTTTAATGGCCTGGTGGCCAAATTAACCAGGAATTGCAGAGCACGTTGTTGTGAGTAAATTCCCAGTGCTTCCAGAAGGAGAAAAAGAATGAAAACAAAGCAGGGAGTTACAGTTTGTGTCGTTTGATGTAAGTTTTTCCCACAGAATTTGGGTTTCGAGGGGTTTAAAACACCTTCCACTGGACATCTTTAATGGCCTAATTGCCAAACTACCCAGGAATTTCAGGGCATACTGTAGGGACAAAATTCCCAGTGCTTCCACGGGGAAAAGAGAAGGAAAACAAAGCAGGAAGTTAGAATTTATGTTGTTTAAGTTTCTCCCACAGAATTCGGGCTGGAAGGGTTTAAAGCCCAGCTGCAATTTCCAGTGGCCTGGCTGCCAAATGAACCAGGAATTTCAGGACACTATTGGGAGCAAATTCCCAGTGCTTCCAGAGGGAAAAGAGAATGAAAGCAAAGCAGAGTTGTCATTTGTGTTGGAAAGAGCTAAAATCCCAGCCCATCCTGCCCCGTGCCATGGGCAGGGCCACCTCAGCCATGTCCTCTCCAGGGGAACACCTGGACTCTTCCCAGCCTTCCCAGCCCCAGGAGCATCAGCAGAAGCCTCCAGGTGTGCGGTGGCCTCACCTGAGGATGATGTGCACGGATTCCAGGCGGGAGGTGATGTAGGCTTTGGTCACCTCGGGCGTGTAGGTCTCCAGCATGTGCGGCTCCGTGGCCTTCACGTAGGGCACGGATGCGGCCAGGCGCTGCCACAGGCTCAGCAGGTAGTGCACACTGTTGGGGGCAAACTCCCAGTGCTTCCACAGGGAAAAGGGGAGGAAAACAAAGCAAGGAGTTATGATTCGTGTTGTTTGACTTGAGTTTTTCCCACAGAATTTGAGCTGGAATTGTTTAATGCTCAGCTCGCTGCACTTTCCATTGGCCTGGCGGCCAAATTAGCCAGGAATTTCAGAGCAAACTGTTAGGAGAAAATTCCAAGTGCTTCCAGGGGGAAAAGAGAAGGAAAAAAAAACCAGGGAGTTATGAGTTGTGTTGTTTTATTTTAAGTTTTCCCCACAGAATTTGGGATGGAAGGTGTTTAATGCTCAGTTCCTTCCACTTTCTGCTGGTTGCCAAATTAACCAGGAATTTCAGAGCACAACACTGGGAGCAAATTCCCAGTGCTTCCACAGGGGAAACAGAAGGAAAACAAAGCAAGGAGTTCAATTTGTGTTGTTTGACTCAGGTTTTTCCCACAGAATTTGTCCTGGAAGCTTTTTAACGCTCAGTTTGCTGCACTTTCCATTGAACTGCTGACCAAATTAACTAGGAACTTCAGATCACACTGCTGGGAACTAATTCCCAGTGCTTCCACAGGGGAAAAGAGAAAGAAAATAAACCAGGGAGTTATGATTTGTGTTGTTTGACTTTAATTTTTCCCTCAGAATTTGGGTTGGAAGGTGTTTAAAGCTCAGTTCCTTCCACCGGTTCTCAAATTAGCCAGGAATTTCAGGGCATGCTGTAGGGAGCAAATTCCCAGTGCTTCTGGAGGGGAAAAAAGAAGGACAACAAAACAGGGAGTTATGATTTCTGTTGTTTGACTTAAGTTTTTCCCACAGAATTTGAGCTGGAAGTTGTTTAATGCTCAGCTCGCTGCACCTTCCACTGGCCTTTAATGGCCTGGTAGCTAACTTAACCAGGAATTTCAGAGCACATTGTTAGGAATAAATTCCCAGTGGTTCCAGAGGGAAAAGGGAAGGAAAACAAACCAGGAACATATGATTTGTGCTGTTTGATTTAAGTTTTTCCCACAGAATTTGGCTTGTAAGTTCAGCTTGTTGCACCTTCAACTGGCCTTTAATGCCTTGGTTGCCAAATTAACCAGGAATTTCAGAGCACATTGTTGGGAGTAAATTCCCAGTGTTTCCTGAAGGAAAATGGAAGGAAAACAAAGCAGGGAGTTATGATTTGTATTGTTTGACTTGAGTTTTTTCCACAGAATTTGGGTTGGAAGGGGTTTAAAGCTCAGCTTGCTGCACCTTGCCTGGTTGCCAAATTAACCAAGAATTTCAGAGCACATTGTTGGGAGTAAATTCCCAGTGTTTCCAGAAGGAAAAGGGAAGGAAGACAAGCCAGGAACATATGATTTGTGCTGTTTAAGTTTTTCCCACAGAATCTGGGTCGCAAGGGGTTTCAAGTTCAGCTCATTGCCCCTTCCACTGGCCTTTGATGCCCTGGTTGCTAAATTAACCAGGAATTTCAGGGCACACTGTTGGGAGTAAATTCCCATTGCTTCCAGAAGGAAAATGGAAGGAAAACAAAGCAGGGAGTTATGATTTGTATTGTTTGACTTGAGTTTTTCCCACAGAATTTGGGTTGGAAGGGGTTTAAAGCTCAGCTTGCTGCACCTTGCACTGGCCTAGTTGCTAAATTAACAATGAATTTCAGAGCACACTGCTGGTAGTAAATTCCCAGTGTTTCCAGAGGAAAAAGGGAAGGAAAACAAAGCAGGGAGTTATGATTTGTGTTGTTTGACTCAGGTTTTTCCCACAGAATTTAGGTTGGAAGTGGTTTAAAGCTCAGCTTGTTGCACCTTGCCTGGTTGCCACATGAACCAGGAATTTGAGGGCACACATTGATCAGTCGTTCCCAGCACTCAGGAAACACGGGGAGATAATCCCAAATCCCCAGGACATGCAGCTGAATCCCAGCCCTCCCCCAGCTCCCACACACTGCACAGCCTGAGCTGCTTCCCAGGAATTCCAATTCCACAAACAAAGGGATTTGTTTTTTAAACCTTCCCCCGTGCAGGGCTGTGGTTGTGAGCTGTACACACAGCTGGAAAGCTCAGTGGAAATATCCATGATATTCCAATTCCTCCCAATCCCCCTGAGTGCATTGCAACAGTGAAGTGAGACAGAATCCTAAAAATAAACCTTATTTAACACGTTTTTTTTTAATTCCCTGCTATGATATGGAAAAGCCTCTGGAGGCATGGCAACAACTCTGCCTTCCCACATGGATTCCATTCAGGATTTCAGAGGATGATCCAGGCAGGATTTCTGTAAAAATTCCCTGTTTTCCAGAGAATCCAAAGGGCAGGGGAGGGCTGTACCTGCAGGCTGGTGACGGTGAAGTTGGCGATGAGCCGGATCACCTCGGGGTAGTTCTCCACCTTCACCAGTTCTCCCAGTTGGTAATTGCTTTTCAACCGGGCCAGCAGCCGGCAGAACTCGTGGTAATTGTTGGGGTCTGATAAACTCTGAGGGGACAAAAAGAGGAGGGGGGCTCAGGAGCAGTTCTGCTGTCCCCTGTGAGAGGCTGGGATGGACCCTCATGGAATCAGAGAGAGCTGCAACAACAAAAACAAGTTCCCAACAAATGCCACCCTGCCCAGTCAGCAATTGGCACGTTTCCTGGTTTTTGGGCATTTCCAGGGATGTTCCAGTCCTTAAACACCCTTCCAATGGAGAACTGTTCCTACAGGAGCAGCTCTGCTGTCCCCTGCCAGAGACTCAGATTATCATGGAATCAGAGAGAGCTCCTACAACAAAACCAAGCTCCCAACAAATCCCACCCTGCCCAGTCAGCAATTTCCACATTTCCTGGTTTTTGGGCACTTCCAGGGATGCGTCCAGTCCTTAAATACTCTTCCAATGGAGAATCTTTCTTACAGGATGAGTTCTGCTGTCCCCTGCCAGAGACTCAGATTATCATGGAATTGGAGACAGCTCCAATTCCACGACTGGAACAAGCCCAAGCTCCCAACAAATCCCACTCTGCCCATTAAACCAGGTCAGTAATTGCCACATTTCCTGGGTTTTGGGCACTTCCAGGGATGCTTCCAGTCCTTAAATACCCTTCCAAGGGAGAACTGTTCTTTCAGGATGAGTTCTGCTGTTCCCTGCCAGAGGCTCAGAGCATCATGAAATCAGAGAACAAGTCCAAGCTCCCAACAAATCCCACTCTGCCCAGTCAGCAATTGCCACATTTCCTATTTTTTGGGAGGGTTCCAGTCCTTAAACACTCTTCCAATGGAGAACTGTTCCTACAGGAGCAGCTCTGCTGTCTCCTGCCAGAGGCTCAGATCATCACGGAATCAGAGAGAGCTCCTACAACAAAACCAAGCTCCCAACAAATCCCACTCTGCCCAGTCAGCAATTGCCAATTTTCCTGTTTTTTGGGCACTTCCAGGGATGTTTCCAGTCCTTAAATACTCTTCCAATGGAGAAATTGTTCCCACAGGAGCAGCTCTGCTGTCCCCTACCAGAGACTCAGATCATCATGAAATTGGAGAACAAGTCCAAGCTCCCAGCAAAACCCACTCTGCCCATTAAACCAGGTCAGCAATTGCAACATTTCCTGGTTTTTCTGCATTTCCTGTCCTTAAATACCCTTCCAATGGAGAAATTGTTCCTAATACCCACCATGAACCTTCCTTGGTGGTGGAATGGCAGGAAAAGGGAAGAGCAGGACAACGCTGCACTTTGCCAAGTTGGAAAAAGGATTTTTCCCATGAAATTTTTTCCATGAAAAAGGATATTTTGGGATGAAATGTGGTGGAGAGGATGCACAGACTGATTTCCCCCCTGCAATACTCACCTGGGGGTTTTCCAGTATCCGTTTCACTCCATCCACCAGGTGAGATAAGAACTTCGCCCTCTCGGCGTTGTTGAAGAGGGAGCGGCGCACGGAGGCGATCTGCACCAAGCAGGATAAAACCTGCCAGGACACACAAAAACGGGAATAAACACAAAAACAGGGGTGAAAACAAGGAAAGGAAGAAATTTTCCCCTCATGACACAAGCAGGGTTTGAGGTTTGGTGCTCCTTTAGGGACCAAACAATTCTGTCTCCTCAGAAATCACAGCACACAAAGCAACAGCTCCATCCCAAAAATCACAGAATTATGGAATTCCTGAGGGTGGAAAAGCCCTCCAAGGTCAGAATCCAACCTTTAATCCCCACCTTGGCACCCAGCTCAGAGCTCTGAGTCCAGGTTTTCCCTCAACACCTCCAGGGATGGGGATCCCAATGGAATAATTTCAGATTTCCATTCAAAAAAAGGATTCTCACACCTCAAATCTCTCCTGAATATTTAAGGCTTGAAATTCAGAATTAGCCATTAACTCTCCACCAGAATAAGTGGAGTCTCCATGGAAAAATTCCTTCTGAAGGCCCTTCCCTCTCAGCCTTGTTTTCACTGAGCTTTAAGTACGGGAAATATTTATCAGATAAATGCCTGCAAGGCCTTTTAAAATTCTTTTTCCAGAAGAAACAATCAACTTTTTATTTTTTCCAGAAGAAATAATTCAACTTTTTATTTTTTCCAGAAGAAATAATCCAACTTTTAGCTCAGTTGTGTTTTCATCCCAATGGACATGGCCTCGTTTGGAAGGGTGGAAGGAGAAATTCCAAACCTGGAATCCCAGGTTTGCTCCCCTATTCCTGGTGTGGTTTTAGGACTTGGTTTGGGAATAACAAGAGTTGCTCCCTCAAGGGGATGAGCAAACAGGAGATTCCAAAAAGTGTGAGGAGAAAGGAGGTTGGAATTCCAGCAAAAAAAGTGGTTTTAGGGAAAATCCAACCTCAGAGATGCTTCAAAACTCTCAGCAGCATCTGGACACTTCAAACCTGGGGTAGCTGAATCCCCAGGGAATCCACCCAGAGGAATCCTAAAAAAAAGGAAAATAAACCCTGGACTTACCAGAGGAGAAAATGAAGGAGGGATGGAATGATAAAGATCAAAAAACAACTGAAGGGTCGAAGAATCCAAGAATGCTGCAAGAGAAAAGAGGATTTTACCTCCATTTACAGCTTCCCACAGGAATAATCCTTATTTTACCACATGGATTTGTCACACCAAAGCACCACAACCCCGAGAAAAATTCTCCCAGGATTTTGTATTTTTAAGGCTCAATGCTTTTCCTAGAAATTGAGTCACCCACAGGCACTTGGAACTGGGAGAAAATGACAGGAAGGTATTTTAAGAACACAATCTGTGCCTGTCAAATGCCTGCTGGGAACAGCAGGATGGGGCAAAAAGGTGCCAAGTTATTCAAGTTATTCCCTATTTTTTTTTTTTAGATCCATTTTTCCTGGTTTTTGGAACAAGAGGTGAAAGACTGGAAGAGAAAAGAGGTTTTAAAAGCAACATAAAACCCCTAGAAATTAATCAGGTGGGTTTAGAGCTGAGTTTAACCCCTGGCTTTGCAAAGTCGAGCTTATTTATAAAAACCCAAAGGCTGGGAGCATTTTCCAGGTGGGATCACCTGATTTTTCCTGGTTTTTGGAACAAGAGGTGAAAGACTGGAGAGAAAAGAGGTTTCAAAAGCAACATAAAATCCCCCAGAAACGAATCAGGTGGGTTTAGAGCTGAGTTTAACCCCTGGCTTTGCAAAGTCGAGCTTATTTATAAAAACCCAAAGGCTGGGAGCATTTTCCAGGTGGATCACCTGATCTCCAACTGGTTGGGATCTGCACAGTGCAAAGATCATCCGAGGACTCGTCCGTGGAGGTGCCGATGAAGTCGAAGTTCAGGCAGTTGTGGGTGAGCTTGAGGAGCTGCATCAGCAGCCCGTGCTGGCTCTCATCGTTCAGGTTCAGGTTCTTCCCAGAAGCCTGAGGAAAACGTGGAATTAAGGCAGGGAAATGGGAAAAAAATTATAAAAATTTGGGTGGCAGCTGAATTTAGGCAGGATTCTATTTGTGGAACAAGCAGCAGGTGTGGTTTTATAAGTAATGAGGCATAATAAAATATATAAAAAGAAATAAAATGAATATATTCCAGCCTAAATAAAATCCCAGAATTTTTCCATATCAGGGATAACAGGCAGCATTCCCATGTTCCTCCCTGAACTACACAGGGATTGGCATTGAGGGATCCAGGAGATCACGGAATTCTTTTCTGTCTGACAGGAATCCTGTGCTCCCCTCCCAAGGGAATGAGGAAAAATGGGACAAAACTGGGACAAGGATTTATTTGTCAAAGATATTGAAAATAGAAACCCAAATTCTCCTTTTTTCCAGCTTGAGCAGCTGCATCAGCAGCCCGTGCTGGCTCTCATCGTTCAGGTTCAGGTAGTGGCAATCATCGTTCAGGTTCAGGTTCTTCCCAGAAGCCTGAGGAAAACGTGGAATTAAGGCAGGGAAATGGGAAAAAAAAAATAAAAATCCAGGTATTAGCTGAATTTAGGCAGGATTTTATTGGAGGGATTTATGGAACGAGCAATGGGTGTGGTTTTGCAGGTAGTGAGGCATAAATAAAATCAAGAAATAAAAAGAAATATATTCCAGCCTAAATAAAATCCCAGAATTTTTCCATATCAGGGATAACAGGCAGCATTCCCATGTTCCTCCCTGAACTACACAGGGATTGGCATTGAGGGATCCAGGAGATCACGGAATTCTTTTCTGTCTGACAGGAATCCTGTGCTCCCCTCCCAAGGGAATGAGGAAAAATGGAATAAAACTGGGACAAGGATTTATTTGTCAAAGATATTGAAAATAGAAACCCAAATTCTCCTTTTTTCGTGATGTTTTAAGCCAGGGAATTTTAACCTCAGGATCCAGGGATTTATTTGCAGCTGGAATTGTAGAGAAGAGTTTGATTTCTGGGTTTATTTTCTATGTATTACCTAAAACCTAAATAACAATAAAAATATTTATATATAAAATATATACCTATATAAAAATATATATTTCTTTAATATGCATTTTATGCATATGTATATATAGATATGCATATATATAAATATGTGTATTATATGCATATAACATGTAAATATGTATATTTTATGTATAAATAAAATCTATTTAATATGTATTACTTAAACAAAATCCATTTATTAATATCACGTTCTTTAAGAAAGAACATTTCCTTAATGAATCCATTTTTTCCTTGAGAAACAACAGGGAACTTTAACCCCAAGCTCAGGATCCAGGGATTTATTTGCAGCTGGAATTGTAGAGAAGAGTTTGATTTCTGGGTTTATTTTCTATGTATTACCTAAAAATATATTTACCTAAATAATAATGAAAATATTTATATATAAAATATATACCTATATATAAATATAATATACTTAATATGTATTATATACCTATGTATATATAAGTATATATTATATGCATACATATTACGTAAATATATATAACATGTAAATATGTATATTATATATATAAATAAAATCTATTTAATATGTATTATTTAAATAAAATCTATTTATTGATATTGATTTCTTTAGGAAGAAAAACTTCCTTAATTAATCAAATTTTTCCTTGAGAAACAACAGAGGAAGTTTAACCCCAAACTCAGGATCCAGGGATTTATTTGCAGCTGGAATTGTAGAGAAGAGTTTGATTTCTGGGTTTATTTTCTATGTATTACGTAAAAATATATTTACCTAAATAATAATAAAAATATTTATATATAAAATATATACCTATAGAAAAATATATAATAGATTTAATATATCTTTTTAAAATATATATATATGCATATGTATATGTATATGTATATATAAATATATATATGCACATATATGATGTAAATACATATATAACATGTAAATATGTATATGTATAAATAAAATCTATTTAGTATGTATTATTTAAATAAAATACATTTATTAATAGCAATTTATTTAGGAAGAAAAACTTCCTTAATTAATCAAATTTTTCCTTGAGAAACAATAGAGAAGTTAACCCAGGGCTCAGGACCCAGGGATTTATTTGCAGCTGGAATTGTAGAGAAGAGTTTGATTTCTCTATTTTCTACTTATTATTTAATTAAAATCTATTTAATATTTCTTATTTAATAAAGATCTATAAAATATTAATCATTTAAATAAACCCTATTTATTATTATTAATTTCTTCACAAATAAAAACTTCCTTATTTAATCCATTTTTTCCTTGAAAGAACAACCCAAACCCAGAATTTTTTAGGAAGGAATTTCATCCACTCATTCCACTTCCCAAAAGAAACCTTCCCAAACTTTCCTTACCTGTTTCAGTAAACTGCAGGACAGGGTGAAAATATCAAATAAAGAGGAATCTCGGAAGGAAGAGGCGATTTTCCTGTGCTTGGTCAGGGGGTGGGTGGTGTCCGCCTGCAGGGGAGAGAAACCGGGCTCAGAGCTGTGGGGTGACACCAGGAAAAGCAGGAAAAGCAGCAGGAATCCCAGGAAATCCAGCAGGAATCCCAGGAAATCCAGCAGGAATCCCAGGAAATCCAGATTTCCCTCCCCAGAACCAGTGGGATGCAATTCCCCAGCTTTTCCATGGAAAAAAATCCACATTTCTGTCACAAAGCTGGGCTGGGTTTAGTCCAAATTCCTTCAATCTTTGCCCAAAACAGCAGCAAAAATTTGGTTTATTTCCTGGAGCTGCTGGGTGGGAAAGAATAAACAGCAGGAATTAAAATTCCACTTGGAAAAGGGAACTGGAAGGAGTTATCCAGGTTGGACGTTGCTGTTTTATGGGATAAATTCCAGTCCAGAGCTCAGAGCTGGGGAACAGCAAAACTCAGATTTTTTTCCCTCATGAAAAGGGGAAAAATGATGGGAAAATATCAAATATAAGGAATTCCAGAAGGAAGAGGTGATTTCCCTCCCCAGAACCAGTGGGATGCAATTCCCCAGCTTTTCCATGGAAAAAAATCCACATTTCTGTCACAAAGCTGGGCTGGGTTTAGTCCCAATTCCTTCAATCTTTGCCCAAAACAGCAGCAAAATTTGGGTTTATTTGGGATTTTAGGAATGGGAATTCCGAGCTCCAAAGGGTTCAATCCCTCCTGGAGCTGCTGGGTACACGGGGATGAAGAACAGCAATTAAAATTATCCAGGTTATCCAGGCTGGAATTTGCTGTTCTGTGGGATAAATTCCAATCCTGGATCAGCCACTGGAGCCCAGAACTGGGGAACAGCAAAACTCAGATTTTTTTCCCTCATGAAAAGGGGAAAAATGATGGGAATATATCAAATATAAGGAATTCCAGAAGGAAGAGGTGATTTCCCTCCCCAGAACCAGTGGGATGCAATTCCCCAGCTTTTCCATGGAAAAAAATCCACATTTCTGTCACAAAGCTGGGCTGGGTTTAGTCCAAATTCCTTCAATCTTTGCCCAAAACAGCAGCAAAAATTTGGTTTATTTGGGATTTTAGGAATGGGAACTCCAAAGGGTTCAATCCCTCCTGGAAAGAATAAACAGCAGGAATTAAAATTCCACATGGAAAAGGGAACTGGAAGGAGTTATCCAGGTTGGACTTTGCTGTTTTATGGGATAAATTCCAGTCCTGGATCAGCCACTGGAGCCCAGAGCTGGGGAACAGCAAAACTCAGATTTTTTTCCCTCATGAAAATGGGAAAAATGAGGAAAAATTCCAATTTTTGTGACCATTCCCAGTCAAATTCCACCTGCCTGGGATGGGCACTGTGTTATCCCTCTGGAAGGTAGAATTCCTGCATAAATATCCACTTTGAAATGTTCATATTTCACTATTTAAACTAAACTAAATTAAATAAACAACAGATCAAAATTATATAAATATAGTTGAATTTTCAATCAAAAACTGAAATAATTAAATTGAAATTTATGATAAAATTAAATTTCAATTTCCAAACCTCTCCTCCAGTATTTGAGGAACCAGGACAGTTCCAACGTTGGATTTTAGACCTGAATTTTCCCAACAATTCCATTAAGGACCCCAAAACTCCCATCCTTTATATTGTAGAAAGAAAAGCTCCAACAGATCCTAAATTTTTTAGGTGTTTTAATATCCAAATTATTCCTCAGCTCAGACTTTTGGGATTTCAGGGATTTTAGGAAAATGAACATTATTTAATTCCCATTTCAAGCAATTTGTGGGGATGGAAAATCCCTTTTATTTCTGTCCTTAGGAAAATGGGATTTTCTTCTTCACCACCACAGTGAATTGGGCTTAAACAGTGAATTCAGCTTAAATCACTAAACTGTGCTTAAATTGGTGAACTTGGCTTAAATCAGTAAATTTGGATTAAATCAATGATTTGGGCTTCTCCATTTCCGGTTCTGAAATCCCTCCAGGATTTCTCTGGATTAAACAGCATCCCAGGGAAATCTGAAGTTAGTTACTTAATGAGACCAAAAAAAATCAATTTGTTTTTTCCAGCTGTTTTTTTAAGGAAAATCTGAGACTTTTCCACACATTGTGACCCTCAGAACTACAGCAAATTATGCATGCCTGAGGGAAAACCATGGAAAAACCATGGAAAAAAGACAGAAAAAACACAGAAATTGGGATAGCAGCAGGTAAAGGTGCTTATTCCAGTTTCCAGCAGCAATTCCAGAGGGAATTCCAGAGCACAGCCCTGGAAAGATTTTAAATCCTCTGGAAAAGCTGGGCCAGGATTGGGCCTGGCCAGGCCTCAGGGGCCAGGAAAAGGACACAACCTGAGAATCCTGAAAGATTTCTGGGGATTTTAACCCAGAAATCATTCAGAGTTTCACCCTGGATGAAAGACATGGTTTAAAAATGGGGACAATGGGAAAATTTGAGTTTTTTTCTCCCTGGTCTAGAAGGAGGGTCAGAAAATCAGAGACTTTTGCACTCATTGTGACCCTCAGGATTGCAGCACAATCTGCATGTCTGAGGGAAAACCATGGAAAAAACCATGAAAAAAACATGGAAAAGCCACAGAAATTGGGATAGCAGCAGGTAAAGGTGCTTATTCCAGTTTCCAGCCGCAATTCCAAAGGGAATTCCAGAGCACAGCCCTGGAGGGATTTTAAATCCTCTGGAAAAGCTGGGCCAGGATTGGGCCTGGTCAGGCCTTAGGGGCCAGGAAAAGGACACAACCTGAGAATCCTGAAGGATTTCTGGGAATTTTATCCCAGAAATCATTCAGAGTTTCATCCTGGATGAAAGACATGGTTTAAAAAATAGGGACAATGGGAAAATTTGAGTTTTTTCTCCCTGGTCTAGAAGGAGGGTCAGAAAATCAGAGACTTTTGCACTCATTGTGACCCTCAGGATTGCAGCACAATCTGCATGTCTGAGGGAAAACCATGGAAAAAACCATGAAAAAAACATGGAAAAGCCACAGAAATTGGGATAGCAGCAGGTAAAGGCGCTTATTCCAGCAGCAATTCCAGAGGGAATTCCAGAGCACAGCCCTGGAAAGATTTTAAATCCTCTGGAAAAGCTGGGCCAGGATTGGGCCTGGCCAGGCCTCAGGGGCAGGAAAAGGACACAACCTGAGAATCCTGAAAGATTTCTGGGGATTTTAACCCAGAAAATCATTCAGAGTTTCATCCTGGATGAAAGACATGGTTTAAAAATGGGGACAATGGGAAAATTTGAGTTTTTTTCTCCCTGGTCTAGAAGGAGGGTCAGAAAATCAGAGACTTTTGCACTCATTGTGACCCTCAGGATTGCAGCACAATCTGCATGTCTGAGGGAAAACCATGGAAAAAACCATGAAAAAAAACATGGAAAAGCCACAGAAATTGGAATAGCAGCAGGTAAAGGTGCTTATTCCAGTTTCCAGCCGCAATTCCAAAGGGAATTCCAGAGCACAGCCCTGGAGGGATTTTAAATCCTCTGGAAAAGCTGGGCCAGGATTGGGCCTGGTCAGGCCTTAGGGGCCAGGAAAAGGACACAACCTGAGAATCCTGAAAGATTTCTGGAATTTTATCCCAGAAATTCCTTCAGAGTTTCACCCTGGATGAAAGAGATGGTTTAAAAATGGGGACAATTAGATAATTTGGGTTTTTTCTTGATGGTCTAGAAGGAGGGGCAGAAAATCAGAGACTTTTGCAATCATTGTGACCCTCAGGACTGCAGCAAAATCTGCATGCCTGAGGGGAAAACCATGGAAAAACCATGGAAAAGAGACAGAAAAAATGCAGAAATTGGGATAGCAGCAGGTAAAGGTGCTTATTCCAGTTTCCAGCAGCAATTCCAGAGGGAATTCCAGAGCACAGCCTGGGGGAGATTTAAATCCTCTGGAAAAGCTGGGCCAGGATTGGGCTTGGAAAAGAACACAATCTGAGAATCCTGAAGGATTTCTGGGAATTTTAAACCCAGAAAATCATTCAGAGTTTCACCCTGGATGAAAGAGATGGTTTAAAATGGGGACAATTAGATAATTTGGGTTTTTTCTTGATGGTCTAGGAGGAGGGCAGAAATCAGAGACTTTTGCAATCATTGTGACCCTCAGGACTGCAGCAAAATCTGCATGCCTGAGGGAAAACCATGGAAAAAAAACATGAAAAAAAGACAGAAAAACCACAGAAATTGGGATAGCAGCAGGTAAAGGTGCTTATTCCAGTTTCCAGAGGAATTCCAGACAAATTCCAGAGGGAATTCCAGAGCACAGCCCTGGAGGGATTTTAAATCCTCTGGAAAAGTTGGGCCAGGCCTCAGGGACTGGGAAAGGGCCACAATGTGAGAATTCAGCAGGATTTGTGGGAATTTCATCCCAAAAACTCATCCAGAGTTTCATCCTGATGAAAGGCTTTGTTTAAAAATGGGGACAATTAGATAATTTTGGGTTTTCCTCCCTGGTAAATATGAAGGGCTCACAACAGAAAGTTCTCACACTCATCCTCACTAAATCATTCTTTTTTCTTGGTTTTTTTTTCCCTTTTCATCCCAGAAAACCACACCAAAACATGGGAAAAGATGGAAGATGCCAATGAAACAAAACAATCCCTCCAGACAGGAGCTCTCAGCATCTCACCACAAAGAGGGAGTGAAAAACAACAACACCACCAACAACAACAAACACCCAACAAACACAGAAATTCCCCCTGAAACACCTCCCAGACAGTGAAATTCCCAAAAAAAAAACCCCAGAAAAGGCAGGACACAACAATATGAATGAGAAAATTGGACACTTACTTCACTGAGGAAGGCTGTAGCACTTACTTGATTAATTTCATTCGTTAGTTGGGACAGGATTGTCACTCCTATGATGCAGTGCTCTACACTGTCCTGGGGAGGCAAAGGCACAGCTTTTTTTTTTTTTGGAAAAAATTCCCTTTTTTTATTGTTCTTTCCTTGGAAAAATTCTTGGCTAGAAAAGCTTAATCCGTCATAAAATAAAAATAAAAAAAAAAATATACAAAGAAGGGAGATTTTGGGAGGTTGATCTGAGTCAATGAATGCAGGAAGTTGAAAGAAGTATCAGGAATATTCATGAGGAGGAAAAGATGGATCCTAAAGGTTGGAGCATCCAGAAACAAATCCCTGCTCCCTGAAACAATTCCCTGCTCCCTGAATTTAGCTTTTTAATTTTTTAATTTAGCTTTTTTAATTTTCCTTTTTAAGGAGCTAAAGAATAAATGTGATTCCCATGGACAGGAAAGAAAACAAAGAAAATATTCCTCGATTTTTCCACCCATCCATGAGGTGGAAAAAACGGATCCTAAAGTTTGGAGCACCCAGGAACAAATCTCTGCTCCCTGAAACAATTCCCTGCTCCCCGAATTTTTAAGGAGCTAAAGAATAATGAGATTTCCATGGATGGAAAGGGAATAACAAAGCAAAGAATTTCTTCATTTTCTACTCATCGATGGGGTGGATTTGAGGGTGGAAAAGATGGATCCTAAAGGTGGGAGAATCCAGGAATGATTCTCTGCTCCCTGAATTTTTAAAGAAATTAAAAAGGCCCTGCTGAAAAACACCAACATGGAAGAACCCGAACTCCTCCAGGCCACCTGCAAACTCCCAAATTTTGGTGAATCCTGGAATTCTGAGGAGGGAATCTGACCTGCAAGGACCTGGTGCAGAGCTGGGAGCATCCAGGAACAATTCCCTGCTCCCTGGAACAATTCCCTGACTTTTAACCTTCACCCTCAGAAATTCCTCCTGAAAACCACCAACACGGAAGAACCCGAACTCCTCCAGGCCATCTCCAAACTCCTTTCTGGTGGGTTTTTGGTGGATCCTGGGACCTCTGAGGAGGGAATCTGACCTGCAAGGACCTGGATCAAAGCTGGGAGCATCCAGAAACAAATCCCTGAATTTTAAGGAGATCTTCACCCCTCAGAAGCCCCTGCTGAAAACCACCAACATGGAAGAACCCGAACTCCTCCAGGCCACCTGCAAACTCCCAAATTTTGGTGAATCCCAGGAATTCTGAGGAGGGAATCTGACCTGCAAGGACCTGGAGCAGAGCTGGGAGTATCCAGGAACAGTTCCCTACTCCCAGGAACAAATCCCTGACTTTTAAGGAGCTGTTTCCCCTCAGAATCCCCTCCTGAAAACCACCAACATGGAAGAACCCGAACTCCTCCAGGCCATCTCCAACTCCTTTTTGGTGGATTTTGGTGGATCCTGGGAATTCTGAGGAGGGAATCTGAACCCCAAGAACCTGGTGCAGAGCTGGGAGCATCCAGGAACAATTCCCTGCTCCCTGGAACAATTCCCTGACTTTTAACCTTCACCCTCAGAAATTCCTCCTGAAAACCACAGACATGGAAGAACCTGAACTCCTCCAGGCCATCTCCAAACTCCTTTCTGGTGGGTTTTTGGTGAATCCTGGGACCTCTGAGGAGGGAATCTGACCTGCAAGGACCTGGGGCAAATCTAGCAGGATCAAGGAACAGTTTCCTGCTCCCAGGAACAAATCCCTGACTTTTAAGGAGCTGTTTCCCCTCAGAAGCCCCTCCTGAAAACCACCAACATGGAAGAACCCGAACTCCTCCAGGCCATCTCCAAACTCCTTTTTGGTGGATTTTGGTGGATCCTGGGAATTCTGAGGAGGGAATCTGAACCCCAAGAACCTGGTGCAGAGCTGGGAGCATCCAGGAACAATTCCCTGCTCCCTGGAACAATTCCCTGACTTTTAACCTTCACCCTCAGAAATTCCTCCTGAAAACCACAGACATGGAAGAACCTGAACTCCTCCAGGCCATCTCCAAACTCCTTTCTGGTGGGTTTTGGTGAATCCTGGGACCTCTGAGGAGGGAATCTGACCTGCAAGGACCTGGTGCAGAGCTGGGAGGAGGAATGATTCCCTGCTCCCCAAATTTTTAAGGAACTCTTCACCCTCAGAAGCCCCTGCTGAAAACCACCGACATGGAAGAACCTGAACTCCTTCAGGCCACCTGCAAACTCCCAAATTTTGGTGAATCCCAGGAATTCTGAGGAGGGAATCTGACCTGCAAGGACCTGGTGCAGAGCTGTGAGCATCCAGGAACAGTTCCCTACTCCCAGGAACAAATCCCTGATTTGTAAGGAGCTGTTTCCCCTCAGAATCCCCTCCTGAAAACCACCAACACAGAAGAACCCGAACTCCTCCAGGCCACCTCCAAACTCTTTTCTGGTGGGTATTTGGTGGATCCTGGCAGCTCTGAGGAGGGAACCTGACCTGCAGGAAGCGGGTGACGTCGTTGATGACGTTCCTGAAGACGTACTCGTCCTTCTGGCAGTCGAACCAGCCCAGCTTGGTGATCCTGGCGTAGAGCTGGATCAGCGCCTGCGTCACGAACGTCGCCAGCTTCGGCCTCGTGGCCAGGTAGTTCAGCACATAATTCCCTGCAAAACGGGGGAAAAGATGGAGCTGAAGGCAAAATTCAGCTCTGGGGGAATGGCCTGAAGGAAAAGGAGCTTTGGGGAGGTTGGTTTGAGTGGGGGAAGTTGGGAGAGATGTCGGGAATAAGAGAGAAGTGTTGGGGTTTTATTTGGGAATTTAAGATGCTGGAAAGGGGTTGGATTTAGCTCTGGAATAAACTAAGAAAAGGTTGGATTTAGCCCTGGAAAGAGATGGATTTAGCTTTGGAATAGACGTGGGCAAGGATTGGATTTAGCTCTGGACTAGACCTGGGAAAAGGGTGGATTTAGCCCTGGAATAAAACTGGGCAAGGACTGGATTTAGGCCTGGAATAAAATTGGGAAAGGGTTGATTTAGGTCTGAGAAAGAGTTGGATTTAGCCCTAGAATAAACCTAGGAAAGGACTGGATTTAGTCCTTGAAAAGGGTTGTGTTTAGCTCTGGAATTGACCTGGGAAGGGTTGGATTTAACCCTAGAATAAAAATGGGAAAGGGTTGGATTGAACCCTGGGAAGGGTTGGATTTAGCCCTGGAATAAACCTGGGGAGAAGGCTGGACTTAGCCCTGGAATTAACCTGGGAAAGGATTGGATTTAGCTCTGGACTAGACCTGGGAAAGAGTTGGATTTATCCCTGAATAAAACTGGGCAAGGATTGGATTTAGCCCTGGAAAGGGTTGGATTTAACCCTGGAATAGACCTGGGAAAGGACTGGATTTAGTCCTAGAATAAAACTGGGAAAGGATTGGACTTAGCCCTGAATTAATCTGGGAAAGGGTTGGATTTAGCCCTGGAATAGACCTGGGAAAGGGTTGGATTTAATCCTAGCCTATTAAATCCTAATTCCTAGCCCTGCAATAAACCTGGGAAAGGACTGGATTTAGCTCTGGACTAGACCTGGGGAAAGGTTGGATTTAACCCTGGAATAAAACTGGGCAAGGATTGGATTTAGGCCTGGGAAAGGATTGGATTTAGCTCTGGAATAAACCTGAAAAGGGTTGGATTCAGCCCTAGAAAGGGTTGGATTTAACCCTGGAAAAGGGCTGGATTTAGCCCTGGAATAAAACTGGGCAAGGATTGGATTTAGTCCTGGAAAAGGGTTGGACTTAGTCCCAGAATAAAACTGGGAAAGGTTGGATTTAGCCCTGGGAAAGAGCTGGATTTAACCTTGGAATAGACCTGGGAAAGGGTTGGATTTTATCCCAGCCTATTAAATCCTAATTCCTAACCCTGCAATAAACCTGGAAAGGACTGGATTTAGCTCTGGACTAGACCTGGGAAAAGGTTGGACTTAGTCCCAGAATAAAACTGGGAAAGGACTGGATTTAGTCCTGGAAAAGGTTGGCTTTAGCTCTGGAATAAAACTGGGCAAGGGTTGGATTTAGGCCTGGAATAAAACTGGGAAAGGGTTGGATTTAACCCTGGGAAAGAGTTGGATTTAGGCCTGGAATTAACCTGGAAAAGGGTTGGATTTAGCTCTGGGATAAACCTGGGAAAGGGTCTTGGACAATCCTGAGGGTTTTGGGCCAATCCCAAGGGGTTTGGGACAATCCAAGGATTTTTTGGGACAATCCCATGGATTTTTAGGACAATCCCAAGGTTATTTGGGGACAATCCCAAGGATTTTTAGGACAATCCAAGGACTTTTGGGGACAATCCCAAGGGGTTTTTGGGACAATCCCAAGGATTTTTAGGCCAATCCCAAGGTTTTTTGGGACAATCCCAAGAATTTTTAGGACAATCCAAGGGGTTTCTGGGGACAATCCCAAGGACTTTTAGGCCAATCCCAAGGATTTTTGGAACAATCCCAAGGATTTCTGGGTCAACCCCAAGGGATTTTTGGGACAATCAATCCCAAGGGTTTTCTGGGACAATCCCAAGGTTTTTTGGGACAATCCCCTGGATTTTTGGGACAATCCCAAGGATTTTTGGGGAAAGCCACGGCACTCACGGATGTCGATGCGCTGCTCCAGGGGCAGGGGGTTGTTTGTGCGCGACACCAGTTTGGTAAGGCAGGTGGCCGCCAGCACTGCGAGTAGGAGGACTGGAAAAAAAAGGGAAAAAAATTCCCAAAAAAAACCAAAAAACCAAAGGAATTTTAATTCATGGGCAGCAAAATTAACGAAATTTTAATTAATGGAATTTTAATTCATGGGTTTGAAGCAAATTCCAGCCCGGGAGTTGAAGGGAAGCAGCTCCCACCTCGGAAGGATGTGGACGAAGCACAATCCACAAATTCCACAAATTTACTGGGATAAAATCCCCAAATTTTACAGGAATTGACAGGAATTTTGCAGCAATTGACAGGAATTTTGGAGGAACTGCAGGAATTTTAAAGGAATTCTGCAGGAATTTTAAAGGAATTCTGCAGGAATTTTGCAGGGAGTCACAGGAATTTTGCAGTAATTTTACAGAAATTCTGTAGAAATTCCCAGGAATTTTGCAGGAATTGACAGGAATTCCAGGGACAAGCCCCAAAATGAGGCTTTCCCCAGAATCAGTTCCTTCCCACTTCCAAGGAAACAATTCCAGGGATTTGTGCCCAGGATTTGGAATTTTGGGAGCTGGAAATCTCCCAGGTGGGATCTTGGATTTAGAAATCCATGGGAATTCCAGCATGGAAAAAGATGTGACACAGGGAATAACTGGAATTCCTTTATTCAAGCCCGGAATTCCAGGGTTTTTTCGGGAAGTTTTGGATGTACTCATTAGGAATTCCTTTATCCAAGTGTGGAATTCCAGCATTTACTGGAATTTTTAGGATGCGCTCGTTATTTATCCGAGTATGGAATTTCAGGATGTTGGGGAATGTCTGGGATGTGGAATTCCATGATTTTGGGGAATTTCTGGAAATGTTTGGGAATATTTACGATTTATTCACACTGCCTCTCTTGAGGAGCAGCCGGCACTTGGGGCTGGGCATGGAATCTCATGAATTTGGGGAATTTGGGGAATTTCTTGGATGTGGAATTCCGTGACTTTGGGGCAATTTTTGGGGGAAGGCGGAATTCCAGGATTTGGGGCAATTTGGGGGTGTAGAATTCCATGATTTTGGGAATTTCTGAGATGTGGAAATCTGCAATTTGGGGCAATTTTTGGGATGTGGAATCCCATGAATTTGGGGAATTTTTGGGACATGGAATCCATTATTTTTGGGGAATTTCTGGGATGTGGAATTCCCTGATTTTGGGGAATTTGGGATCTACTCATGCTCCCTTCCTGAGGAGCAACCAGCACTTGTTATTTCTCAATCCATGGGAATTCCAGGATGGAAAAAGATGTGGTGGAATTCTTTATCCAAGCCCAGAATTCCATGGTTTTGGGATGTGGAAATCCATGATTTGGGGAATTTTTGGGGAATTCTGGGAATTTTTGGGATGTGGAATCCCATTATTTTTGGGCAATTTTTGGGATGTGGAATCCCATTATTTTTGGCAAATTTCTGGGATGTTGAATTCCATGATTTTGGGGAATTTGGGGATCTGGAGTTCTATGATTCTGGGGAATGTTTGGGATGTGGAATTCCAGGATTTTGGGGAATTTTTGGGAATTTCTTGATGTGGAATTCCGGGACTTTGGGGAATTTTTGGGACGTGGAATTCCACAATTTTAGGGAATGTTCGGGATGTGAAATTCCATGATTTTAGGGAAAGTTTGGGGATATGGAAATCCACAATTCGGGGCAATTTTTGGGATGTGGAATTCCATAATTTTGGGCAATTTGGAGTGTAAAATTCCAGGATTTTGGGGAATGTTTGGGATGTGGAATTCCAGGATTTGGTGAGATGTTTGGGGATGTGTAAATCCACCATTTGGGGCAATTTTTGGGATGTGGAATCCCATGATTTTAGGGAATTTTTGGGAATATTTGGGGTGTACTCACGCTGCCTCTCTCAAGCAGCAGCTGGCACTTGTGGAATGTTGGTGAACCCCACCAGGACATGGAATTCCATTATTTTAAGGAATTTTTTGGAATTCTGGGGAACGTTTGGGAATATTTATGATTTACTCACGCTGCCTCCCTCGAGGAGCTGCTGGCACTTGGGGCTGCTGGTGAACCCCACCTGGGCATGGAATCCCAGGATTTTGGGAATGTTTGGGACGTGGAATTCCACAATTTTGGGCAGTTTTTGGGATATGGAATTCCACAATTTTGGGAATGTTTGGATGTGGAATTCCATGATTCTGGGGAATATTTGGGGTGTACTCACGCTGCCTCTCTCGAGGAGCAGCTGGCACTTGGGGCTGTTGGTGAACCCCACAAGGACATGGAATCCCAGGATTTTGGGGAATGTTTGGGGATGTGGAATTTCAGGATTTTGGGGAATTTTTGGGATGTGGAATCCCATGATTTTTGGGAATGTTTGAGAATATTTGGAATGTCAGGCTGCCTCTCTTGAGGAGCAGCTGGCACTTGGGGCCCTTGGTGAACTCCACCAGGGCATGGAATCCCATGAATTTGGGGAATTTTTGGGAATTCTGGGGAATATTTGGGATGTGGAATTCCATGACTTTAGGGAATGTTTGGGATGTGGAATCCCAGGATTTTAGGGAATTTTTGGGGATATTTTGGGAATATTTGGGGTGTACTCACGCTGCCTCTCTCGAGCAGCAGCCGGCACTTGGGGAATGTTGGTGAACCCCACCTGGACATGGAATCCCAGGATTTTGGGGAATGTTTGGGATGTGGAATTCCAGATTTTGGGGAATTTTTGGGGAACTTTTGGGGAATTTTTGGGATGTGGAATCCCATGATTTTAGGAATATTTGGGAATATTTGGGGTGTACTCACGCTGCCTCTCTCCAGGAGCAGCTGGCACTTGGGGCTGTTAGTGAACCCCACCTGGACACGGAATCCATGAATTTGGGAAATTTTTTGGGAATTCTGGGGAATTTTTGACATGTGGAATCCCATGATTTTGGGGAATTTTTGGGGATATTTTGGGGATGTTTGGGATGTACTCACGCTGCCTCTCTCCAGCAGCAGCCGGCACTTGGGGAATGTTGGTGAACCCCACCTGGACATGGAATCCCAGGATTTTGGGGAATGTTTGGGATGTGGAATTCCAGGATTTTGGGGATGTGGAATTCCACAGTTTTGGGGAATTTTTGGGATGTGGAATTCCACAATTTTGGGGAATTTTTGGATGTGGAATTCAGGATTTTGGGGAATTTTTGGGGAACTTTTGGGGAATTTTTGGATGTGGAATCCCAGGATTTTGGGGAACTTTTGGGGAATGTTTGGGATGTGGAATCCCAGGATTTTAGGGAATTTTTGGGGATATTTTGGAATGTTTGGGGTGTACTCACGCTGTCTCTCTCGAGGAGCAGCGGCACTTGGGGAATGTTGGTGAACCCCACCTGGACATGGAATCCCAGGATTTTGGGGAATGTTTGGGATGTGGAATTCCAGGATTTTGGGAATTTTTGGGAATTTTTGGGATGTGGAATCCCATGATTTTAGGGAATATTTGGGAATATTTGGGGTGTACTCACGCTGCCTCTCTCCAGGAGCAGCTGGCACTTGGGGCTGTTGGTGAACCCCACCTGGACACGGAATCCCATGAATTTGGGAAATTTTTGGGAATTCTGGGAATTTTTGACATGTGGAATCCCATGATTTTGGGGAATTTTTGGGGATATTTTGGGATGTTTGGGATGTACTCACGCTGCCTCTCTCCAGCAGCAGCCGGCACTTGGGGGATGTTGGTGAACCCCACCAGGGCATGGAATCCCAGGATTTTGGGGAATGTTTGGGATGTGGAATTCCAGGATTTTGGGGATGTGGAATTCCACAGTTTTGGGGAATTTTTGGATGTGGAATCCCAGGATTTTGGGGAATTTTTGGGATGTGGAATTCCAGGATTTTGGGAATTTTTGGGGAACTTTTGGGAATTTTTGGGATGTGGAATCCCAGGATTTTAGGGAATGTTTGGGATGTGGAATTCCAGGATTTTGGGGAATTTTTGGGATATTTTGGGGATGTTTGGGATGTACTCACGCTGCCCCTCTCCAGCAGCAGCAGGCACTTGGGGCCATTGCTGAACCCCACAAGGGCATGGAATCCCAGGATTTTGGGAATGTTTGGGAATGTGAATTCCAGGATTTTGGGGAATGTTGGGAATGTGGAATTCCAGGATTTTGGGGAATGTTTGGGATGTGGAATCCCATGATTTTAGGGAATTTTTGGGGATATTTGGGGGGTACTCACGCTGCCCCTCTCCAGCAGCAGCTGGCACTTGCTCAGGCAGTCGGGGCTGTTGGTGAACTCCACCAGCGCCTTCTCGGCCTGCAGGCGCGTGCCCGTGTCCGTGGTCTCATAGAGCTGCTTGCACAGGTTCTCCAGCTGGGCCAGGCTCTGCGGGGAACGGGCACAGCACAGCGTGGGCAACGGGGAAATGGGGGAAAATGGGGAGAAACAGGGGAAAAAACATGGGAAAACCAGGGGAAAACCAGGGGAAAATGGGGAAAATCAGGGGAAAATGGGGAAATAACATGGGAAAAATGGGGAAATACATGGGAAAAACAGGGGAAAACCAGGGGAAAATGGGGAAATAACATGGGAAAACCAGGGGAAAACCAGGGGAAAATAGGGAAAATCAGGGGAAAATGGGGAAATAACATGGGAAAAATGGGGAAATAGATGGGAAAAACAGGGGAAAACCAGGGGAAAATGGGGAAATAACATGGGAAAACCAGGGGGAAAACAGGGGAAAAACCAGGGAAAAACAGGGAAAGACCAGGGAAAATGGGGAAATAACATGGGAAAACCAGGGGAAAATGGGGAAAAATGGGGAAAATCAGGGGAAAAAACATGGGAAAAATGGGGAAATACATGGAAAAACAGGGGAAAACCAGGGGAAAAACATGGAAAAACAGGGAAAAATGGGGAAAAGCCAGGGGGAAAACAGTGAAAAACAGGGAAACAAAAACACAGGGGGAAAATGGGGAAATAACATGGGAAAACAGGGGAAAATGGGGAAAAATGAGGAAAAGCCAGGGGGAAAACAGGGGAAAAACGGGGGAAACCAGGGAAAAACAGAGAGAAAACAGGGAAAAATGAGGAAAAATGAGGGAAAAAACCAGGGAAAAATGGGGAAATAACATGGGAAAACAGGGAAAAACCAGAGAAAAACAGGGAAAAATGGGGAAAAGCCAGGGGGAAAACAGGGGGAAAACCAGGGGGAAACCAGGGAAAAACCAGGGTAAAAACAGGGAAAAATGAGGGAAAAAAAGGGGAAAATGGGGAAATAACATGGGAAAACCAGGGGAAAACCAGGGAAAAATGAGGAAAAACCAGGGGGAAAACAGGGAAAACCAGGGAAAAAACAGGGAAAACCAGGAAAAAACCAGGGAAAAAATGGGGAAATAACAGGGAAAAAACAGGGAAAAATGGGGGAAAAAATGGGGAAAAACCAGGGGGAAAACAGGGGGAAAACGGGGGAAACCAGGGAAAAACAGGGGAAAAACAGGGAAAAATGGGGAAAAGCCAGGGGGAAAACAGGGAAAAATGGGGAAAAAACAGGGAAAAACCAGGGAAAAACAGAGAAAAAAACAGGGAAAAAACAGGGAAAAAAGGGGAAAAGCCAAGGGGAAAGCAGGGGAAAACCAGGGGAAAACCAGGGAAAAAACCAGGGAAAAACAGGGGGAAAAAAGGGAGAAACAAGGAAAAAAACCAGGGAAAAATGGGGAAAAACCAGGGGGAAAACAGGGAAAAACAGGGAAAAAACAGGGGAAAATGAGGAAAAAACAGGGGGAAAACAGGGGAAACCAGGGAAAAACATGGAAAACCAGGGAGAAACAAGGAAAAAAAACCAGGGAAAAATGGGGAAAAAACAGGGGGAAAACATGGAAAAAACAGGGAGAAAACCAGGGGAAAACCAGGGAGAAATGGGGAAAAACGGGGAAAATCAGAGGAAAACAGGGAAAAATGGGGAAAAGGGGGTTCAGGGCCACTGCAGGAACTCCCCAGCACCGGCAGTTTGTGCTCACACATGTGGGACTCACCACGACTTCTCCTTCCCTTTTTCCTTCCCTTTTTCCCCCTTTCCTTCCAATTTCTTTCCCATTTTCCTTTCCTTTCTTTTCCTTTCCCATTTTCCATTTTCCTCTCCCATTTTCCTTTCCCTTCCCTTCCCATTTTCCTCTCCCATTTTTCTTTCCCATTTTCCTTTCCTTTCCCTTCCCATTTTCCTTTCCTTTCCTTTCCCATTTTCCTTTTTCTTCCCTTCCCTTCCCCTTTTTTCCTTTCCTTTCCCCCTTTTCCCATTGAATTTCCAAAATTCCCTCCCCAGCAATCCCTCTCATTTCCACCTTTCCCATTTCACAGGAATTTTGCAGCAATCTCCACAAATCTCGCAGGAATTTACAGGAAAATTTACAGAAATTTTTGCAAGAAACTTGACAGGAATTCTGCAGGAATTTCCCAAACATTTTACAAGAATTTTGCCGGAATTTTCATGAATTCTGCAGGAATTTTCAGGAATTTTGCAAGGAAATGTTGAGGAATTTACAGGAAATTTCCAAGAATTCTGCAGGAATCCAGGAGAAACCCCAGCATGAGGCTTTCCCTGGAATCAGTTCCCTTCCCATTTCCAAAGAAATAATTCCCAGAAATTCCCGCCCTGGGAAAATTCCATAATTCCAGGAGTTTTTATTCATCATTTTAGGACCAATTTTAGGGTGTTTGGGGTCATTCTCAGGGGATTTGGCGTCAATTTTAGAGGGTCTGGGGTAATTTTCAGGGGGTTTGGGACCAATTTCAGGGGGTTTGGGGCCATTTTTAGGGCGCTGGGTTGATTTTAGGGTGTTTGGGGTCAATTCCTTGGGGGATTTGTGGTCAATTTTAGGGTTTTGGGGTCAATTTTAGGGAGTTTGGGGTCAATTTTAGGGTATTGGGGGACCAATTTTAGGGTGTTTAGGGTCATTTTCAGGGGGTTTGGGGTCATTTGCAAGGTGTTGGGGTCAATTTTAGGGTTTTGGGGTCAATTTTAGGGGATTTGGGGTCAATCTCAGGGGGTTTGGGACCAATTTTAAGGGGGTTGGGACCAATTTCAGGGGGTTTGGGGTCAATTTTAGGGAGTTTGGGGTCAATTTTAGGGGATTTGGGGCCAATTTTAGGGGATTTGGGACCCATTTCAAGGGGTTTGGGGTCAATTTTAGAGGGTCTGGGGTCAATCTCAGGGGATTTGGGGTCAATTTTAGTGAATTTGGGGTCAATCTCAGGGGGTTTGGGACCAATTTTAGGGTATTTGGGGACCAATTTTAGGGTATTTGGGGGACCAATTTTAGGGGGTTTGGGGTCAATTTTAGGGGGTTTGGGGCCATTTTTAGGGTGTTGGGTTTTTAGGGCTTTTGGGGTCAATTCCTTGGGGGACTGCTGGTCAATTTTAGGATGTTTGGGTCAATTTTAGGGTGTTTGGAGTCATTTTGAGAGGGTCTGGGACCAATTTCAGCGGGTTTGGGGTCAACCTCAGGGGATTTGGGGTCAATTTTAGAGGGTCTGGGTCCCATTCAGAGGTTCAGGGTCACTCTCAGGGGGTTTAGGGTCAAGTTCAGATGGTTCAGGGTCACTCTCAGAGGGTTTAGGGTCACTCTTAAAATGTTTTGGGGTCAAGTTCAGAGGGTCTGGGGCCTCTTTCTGAGGGTTTGGGGTCAATTTGAGAGGTTTAGGGTCACTCTCAGAGGGTTGGGGGTCACTCTCGGAGACTTTCAAAAGGTTTTGGGTTCCTTCACTGGGGGTTTGAGCCCACTCAGAGGGTTTTGTTCCCTTCCTGATGGGTTTGGGGCCCTTTCCCAAGGTTCAGGTCCCTTTCCTGAGGATTTAGGGCCATTTCCCAAAGGTTCAGGTCCCTTTCCTGAGGATTTAGGGCCCTTTCCTGGGGTTCTGTTCCTCCACTCCAACCTGGAACTTTCCCAGCCCTGATTTCCCTCCTCACTCCTGCCCCACCAACATCTCCAGTCTGGGATTCCTCTGAAACATCCAAAGGAAACCTCCCCAACCCTGAGTGTCCATAGGGCTGGGAAATGACCCCAAATCTTGCTGGGAAAGGAACAGAACCAGGCAAGGAAAAGAAACAAAACAGGGCAGGGAAATGATCCCAAAGAGGGCAGAGAAATGATCCCAAACCTGGATGGAAAAGGAACAGAACGGAGCAGGGAAAGGATCCCGAACCTGTCTGGGAAATGACCCCAAACCCAGCTGGGAAATGACCCCAAAGAGGGCTGGGAAAGGAACCGAACCCGGCTGGGAAATGATCCCAAAACCGGCTGGGAAAGGAACGGAACCAGGCAAGGAAAGGAACCCAAACAGGGCTGGGAAATGAGCCCAAACCTGGCTGGGAGAGGAACAGAACTGGGCTGGAAAAGGAGCAGAACCAGGCAAGGAAAGGAACCCAAACAGGGCAGGGAAAGGAACAGAACCAGGCAAGGAAAAGAAATAAAACAGGGCAGGGAAAGGAACCCAAAGAGGGCAGAGAAATGATCCCAAACCTGGATGGAAAAGGAATAGAACCGAGCAGGGAAAGGATCCCAAACCCAGCTGGGAAATGACCCCAAACCCAGCTGGGAAATGACCCCAAACCCAGCTGGGAAATGACCCCAAAGACGGCTGGGAAAGGAACCGAACCCGGCTGGGAAATGATCCCAAAACCGGCTGGGAAAGGAACGGAACCAGGCAAGGAAAGGAACCCAAACAGGGCAGGGAAAGGAACAGAACCAGGCAAGGAAAAGAAATAAAACAGGGCAGGGAAAGGAACCCAAAGAGGGCAGAGAAATGATCCCAAACCTGGATGGAAAAGGAACAGAACCGAGCAGGGAAAGGATCCCAAACAGGGCTGGGAAAGGAATCCAAACCCAGCAGGGAAAGGATCCTAAACAGGGCTGGGAAATGATCCCAAAACCGGATGGGAAAGGAACCCAAACAGGGCTGGGAAAGGAACAGAGTCCGGCTAGAAAATTATCCCAAAGCTGGCTGGGAAATGATCCCAAACCTGGGTGGAAAAGGAACAGAACTGAGCAGGGAAAGGATCCCAAACCCAGCTGGGAAATGAGCCCAAACAGGGCTGGGAAAGGAACAGAACCCGGCTGGAAAATTATCCCAAACCTGGCTGGGAAATGATCCCAAACAGGGCAAAGAAATAATCCCAAACCTGGATGGAAAAGGAACAGAACCAGGCAGGAAAAGGATCCCAAACAGGACCTGGAAATGACCCCAAACAGGGCTGGGAAAGGAACAGAACCAGGCAAGGAAAGGAACCAAACCTGGCTGGGAAATGATCCCAAACCTGGCTGGGAAATGACCCCAAAGAGGGCTGGGAAATGACCCCCAATCCCGCTGGGAAAGGGACCCAAACAGGGCTGGGAAAGGAACAGAGTCAAGGATGGGAAATGATCCCAAAACCGGCTGGGAGAGGAACAGAACTGGGCTGGAAAAGGAACAGAACCAGGCAAGGAAAGGAACCAAACCTGGCTGGGAAATGATCCCAAACCTGGGTGGGAAAGAAATAGAACGGGGCAAGGAAAGGAACCCAAACCCGGCCGGGAAATGACCCCAAACCCGGCTGGGAGAGGAACCCAAACAGGGCAGAGAAATGACCCCAAACCTGGCTGGGAAAGAAGCAGAACCAGGCAGGGAAAGGATCCCAAACTGGACTCGGAAAGGAACAGAACCCGGCTGGGAAATGATTCCAAACTTGGCTGAGAAAGGAACAGAATCAGGCTGGGAAATGACCCCAAACCTGGCTGGGAAATGACCCCAAACCCAGCTGGAAAAGAAACAGAACCGAGGAAGGAAAGGAACTTAACCAGGGCTGGGAAAGGATCCCAAACCCGGCTGGGAAAGAAACAGAACCAGGCAAGGAAAACAACCCAAAAAGGGCTGGGAAAGGAACAGAACCTGGCTGGGAAATGATTCCAAACTGGGCTGGGAAAGGACCCCAAACCCAGCCGGGAAAGAAATAGAACCGAGGAAGGAAAGGAACCTAAATGGGGCTGGGAAAGGATCCCAAACCTGGGTGGGAAAAGGAACAGAACTGAGCAGGGAAAGGATCCCAAACAGGACCTGGAAATGACCCCAAACAGGGCTGGGAAAGGAACCCAAACATGGCTGGGAAAGGAACAGAACCAGGCAGGGAAAGGATCTCAAACCTGTCTGGGAAATGACCCCAAACCCAGCTGGGAAAGAAATAGAACCGGGCAAGGAAAGGAACCTAACCAGGGCTGGGAAAGGATCCCAAACCTGGGTGGAAAAGGAACAGAACCTGGCTGGGAAATTATTCCAAACTTGGCTGGGAAAGGAACAGAATCAGGCAAGGAAAAGAACCCAAACAGGGCTGGGAAATGACTCTAAACTGGACTCAGAAAGGAACAGAACCTGGCTGGGAAATGATCCCAAACCCATCTTGGAAAGAAATAGAACGAGGCAAGGAAAGGAACCCAAACAGGGCCTGGAAATGACCCCAAACAGGGCTGGGAAAGGAACCCGAACATGGCTGGGAAAGGAACAGAACCAGGCAGGAAAAGGATCCCAAACCTGTCTGGGAAATGACCCCAAACAGGGCAGAGAAATTATCGCAAAACTGGCTGGGAAATAAACAGAACCAGGCAATGAAAGGAACTCAAACTGGACTCGGAAAGGAACAGAACCCGGCTGGGAAATTATCCCAAACCCGGCCGGGAAATGACCCCAAACACGCCTGGGAAAGAAACAGAACCGGGCAAGGAAATGACCCTAAACACAGCCGGGAATTGACCCCAAACCCGGCTGGGAACGGACCCGACCCGGGCCGGGCAAAGCACCCAAACCCGGCCGGGAATGACCCGGAGCGGGCCGGGAGTGCCGAGACCCCGCAAGCCGCGATGCCCAGCCCGGATCAAGGAGCGGATCCCAGCGCCGCCGGCGCCAGCGGCACGTTCGGGGCTGACAGCGGGGCCCGCCCGGGGCTCCCGAGGGGACAACGGGGATCCGAGCGAGCCCGTCCCGGGATCCCCGCAGCGGGCACGGAGCGGAGGGACGGGGGGACAGCGGGAGGGACGCGATGGGGCCGGGAGGAGCCGCGGGCAGCCGGGGGGACCCTCGGAGAGGCCGCCGGGGGCCACGGGGGGAGCGCGGCCTGCGCGCCTGGGCCGCGCCGGGCCTGGCCGGGCCTGGCCGTGCGGGGCTCGGCCGCGCGGGCCGGGGGGGCGGCGCGGGGGTGCCGGGAGGGCGGCGGGCGGGCCCGGGCGAGCCCCGCGCTGCGGCCGGAGCTCACCTGCACATGATCCGCCATCTTGCCCCATTCATGCTCCGCTCGCGCCTCCGCCCCCGCCTGCGCCGGGCCCGGCGCCACCGCGTCCCCCCGCGCCGCCGCCCGCACCGCGCATGCGCCGCGCCGGGACCACGCCCCTCCCGCGCCTGCGCGCGCCGAAGGGACACGCCCCCTCCACGCCCGCCCCGCCTATCCCGCGCCTGCGCGCGCCCGAAGGACACGCCCATAACGCGGAAACCACGCCCATCCCGGTGAGATCACGCCCCCGTATTGGTGCCGGGCCTGCGCGAGGCTCCGGGACACGCCCACAGCGGTCTGGCCACGCCCCCTCTGCGCGCGCGGCGCGCTGCGTCTGACGTCACGGCGGCGGCGCGGGGCGGGGGGAGGAGGGAGGGGCGCGAGGCGGGTTTGTTGACACGGCCTTAAAGGGGCCGCGCACCCCGGGACAGCACGGGGACAACACGGGGACAACACGGGGACAGAGCCGGGACAGAGCCCGGACAGCACGGGGACAGCGGGGACAACACGGGGACAGAGCCGGGACAGCACGGGGACAGCACAGGGACAGCGAGGATAGCACGGGGACAGAGCGAGGACAGCACAGGGACAGCGGGAACAACACGAGGACAGCACGAGGACGGCACTGTGAGCACTGGCACCAACACGCCAGCAGTGCCACCCGTGTGACCTAACACCAGTATAACCAGTGCCACCAGTGCTCCCAGTCCCCCCAGTGTCCTCCACCTGTGCTCCCAGTGCCCGTCAACACCACAGGGTGGCACAGGGGCGTGTCGTCCGTGCCACACCCACCTGTCCCAAGTGCCACACCCACAGTGCCACACCCAAATGTCCAGCTGTGCCACACCCACCTATCTGCAGTGCCACACCCACAGTGCCACACCCAGGTGTCCCCAGTGCCACACCCATGTATTCGGCAGTGCCACACCCACAGTGCCATGCCCACCTGTCTGGCTGTGCCACACCCCAATGTCCCCAATGTCACATCCATGTGTGTGCTGTGTCGCACCCCCGTGTCCCCAGTGTCGCACCCACAGTGCCACTCCCCCATGTCCCCAATGTCACACCCGTATGTGAGCTGTGCCACTCCCCCGTGTCCCCAGTGTCACACCCACAGTGCCACTCCCCCGTGTCCCCAGCGCCACCCCCGTGTCCCCGTGGGGACCCACAGGAAGTCGCTGCATGCAGGAAGCGGCAGAGCCCGGGCTGAGCGCGGCAGGGGTGGAACCCGCCTTGGTGACACCGCGGGGACACAGATCCCAGAACCCCTGGGACACTGAGGACACTCAGGGACACTTGGGGACACTCAGGGCCTCCAGGACACTGCGGACACTTGGGACCCCCAGGACACTCTGGACGCTCCAGACTCTCAGGACACGTTGGACACTTGGGGACACTCTGGACACCAGACACTGCGGACACTGTGGACACTTGGGGACACTCTGGACACTGCTGACACTCTGGACACTCAGCACACTCTGGACACTCAGGACACTCGGGGACACTCAGGACACACCGGACACTTGCGGAAACTCAGGACATTTGGGACACGCCAGACACTTGAGGACAGGCCGGACACTTGGGACACTTGAGGACATCTAAGGACACTCGGACAGGCCGGACACACGGCCACCGGCGATGGAGGAGGCGGTGGTGAAGCAGGGCTGGCTGTACCTGCAGCTGCAGCAAACCTTCGGCAAGGTCAGCGGGACTGGGGGGAACCCACGGGAATGGGGTGAACCCTGTGGGAATGGGGTGAATCCTGTGGGAATGGAGTGAATCCTGTGGGAATGGGGTGAATGCCGTGGGAATGGGGTGAATCCCACAGTAATGGGGTGAACTCTGTGGGAATGGGGTGAATGCCATGGGAATGGGGTGAATCCTGTGGGAATGGGATCAATCCCATGGGAATGGGGTGAATTCTCTGGGAATGGGGTCAATACTACAGGGAAGGGGTGAATCCTGTGGGAATGGGGTGAACCCTGTGGGAATGGGGTGAATCCCACAGTAATGGGGTGAATCCTGTGGGAATGGGGTCAATCCCATGGGAATGGGGTCAATCCCTCGGGAATGGGGTGAATCCCACAGTAATGGGGTGACTCCTACAGGGATGGAGTGAATGCCATGGGAATGGGGAGAATCCTACAGAGATGGGGTCAGTCCCATGGGAATGGGGTGAACCCCATGGGAATAGGGTGAAGGCCACAGCAATGGGTTGAATCCTACAGGAATGGGGTGAATGCCATGGGAATGGGGTGATTCCACCTGTTGATGCTCAGTTGTCCCTCAGTCACCATGAGGGGACAGGAGGTGCTGGGGACACTTCGTACAGACTCCCCAAAAGAGGCTCTGCAGAGTTAGGGGGTGAGAGGTGTCACCTGGGGGGGATGGGTGTGACCCCCAAAGCCACATTTGGGGACAGTTCCAGCCAGGGGTGACAGCTGCAGGCCCCAAAGCCACATTTGGGAACAGTGACGGCTGCAGGCCCCAAAGCCACATTTGGGGACAGTGACGGCTGCAGGCCCCAAAGCCACATTTGGGGACAGTGACGGCTGTAGACCCCAAAGCCATGTTTGGGGACAGTTCCAGCTGGGGGACAGTGACGGCTGCAGGCCCCAAAACCTCATTTAGGGACAATGATGTCTGTAGGCCCCAAAGTTGCGTTTGGGGACAGTTCCAGCTGGGAGGTGACGGCTGCAGGCCCCAAAGCCATATTTGGGAACAGTGACGGCTGCAGGCCCCAAAACCTCATTTAGGGAACAGTGACGGCTGCAGGCCCCAAAGCCATATTTGGGAACAGTGACAGCTGCAGGCCCCAAAGCTGCATTTGGGGACAGTTCCAACCAGGGGATGAGGGCTGCAGGCCCCAAAACCTCATTTAGGGAACAGTGACGGCTGCAGGCCCCAAAGCCGCGCGGCTTCCGCTGCTGATAAAGGGCTGGGGTTGGGCAATGGCTGCGAGGGGAAGGAGCTGAGGGAAGGAGCTCAGGGGCCTCTCCTGCCCCTCTCCCTTCTCTCCCTCCCCACAGAGCCCATCTCGAGCGGATCCACCCACAGGAAGGGTGGGGATCCCAAAACCCCATCCCAGGAAAATGGAGCTGTGGGACATGGAGCTCCCGGGGAGGTTTTGGGGCCGCTTCCTCTGCCCCCACTTCCCCTCTGCCCTGTGGCCTCCCGTGCTCCCCAAACCCGGAACTGCTGCTGCTGCTTTTGGGGCAGAGCCTGAGAGATGAAAATTTGGGGTTTTCTAGGGAAAATGGAGCTGGACGTTGTTCATGCCTTGTGGGGTGGGTGAGGCTGGGGTGCTGGAAAGGCTTTGCTGAGTGTCAAGGGTTTATCCAGGGATTTAAATCCCAATTTATGTTGCCTCCATCTTCAGTCAAACCCTGCAGGGTTTTGCACCCTTGTCCTGCCTTGGGTGATGCTAAGCATTGTCCCAAGGGGATAAAAACTCCTGGGAAGGTAAAAACTCATGGGAATGTAAGAATTCCTGTAGGGATGAAAACTCCTGGAGAGGTGAAAACTCCTGGAGAGGTGAAAATGCTGGGAAAAGTAAAAACTCCTGGGAAGGTAAAAACCCCAGGGAAGGTCAAATCCTTTTGGGAAGGTAGAACCCCATGGAAGGTTGAACCCCAGGGAAGGTCGAACACTTTTGGGAAAGTGAAAACCCCAGGGAAGGTAGAATCTCATGGAAGGTAGAACCCCATGGAAGCTAGAACTCCATGGAAGGTAGAACCCCATGGAGGATAGAACCCCAGGGAAGGACGAACCCTTTTGGGAAGGTAAAAACCTCTGGGAAGGTTGAACCCTTTTGGGAAGCTAGAACCCCATGGAAAGTAGAATCCCATGGGAGGTAAAACCCTTTTGGGAAGGTAAAAACCCCATGGAATGTAGAACTCCAGTGAAGGTCCAACCCTTTTGGGAAGGCAGAACCCCAGGGAAGGTTGAACCCCATGGAAGGACAAACCTTTTTGGGAAGGTAAAAACCCCATAGAAGGTAGAACCCTTTTGGGAAAGTTGAACCCTTCTGGGAAGGTAGAATCCCACGGAAGGTCAAACCTTTTTGGGAAGGTAAAAACCTCTGGGAAGGCTGAACCCTTTTGGGAAGGTAGAACTCCAGGGAAGGTCGAACCCCAGAGAAGGCTGAACCCTTTTGAGAAGGTAAAAGCCCCATGTAAGGTCAAGCCTTTTTGGGAAGGTAGAACTCCACGAAAGGTAGAAGCCCATGGAAGGGAAAAACCCCAGGGAAGGTCAAACCCTTTTGGGAAGGCAGAGCCCCAGGCAAGGTTGAACCCCATGGAAGGTCGAACCCCAGGGAAGGATGAACCTTTTTGGGAAGGTCAAACCCTGCTGGGAAGGTAAAAACCCCATGAAAGGTAGAACCCCACAGAAGGCCGAACCCCTTTGGGAAGGCAGACACCGCGGTTGTCCCCCGGCAGAAGTGGAAGAAGTTCTGGGCCATGCTGTACCGGGAGAGCCCGTGCTCCACGGCGCGCCTGGAGCTGCAGGAGGGCCCCGAGCGGCCGCGCAAGGCCGAGGGCGGCCGGCGCCTGGTGCGGCTCAGCGACTGCGTGCACGTGGCCGAGGCGGGCGGCGACGCCTCCTGCCCCAAGGACACCGTGCCCTTCCTGCTGGAGACCACAGAGCGGAGATTCCTGCTGGCTGCTGATGGCGCTGAGGCGGCCGAATGGATCCAGCGGCTCTGCGAGCTGGCGTTCCCGGTATGGCCCCATAGCGGCTGGGGAACGGGGAATCCACCAGGGGGAGGATCCACTGGGGTGGGTGGGATCCACTGGAATGGGTGGGATCTGCTGGGATGGGTGGGATCTGCTGTGGTGGAGGGGATCCACCGAGATGGATGGGATCTGCCAGGGTGGAGGGGATCTGATGGAATGGATGGGATCCACCAGGATAGATGGGATCCACTGGGATGGGTGGGATCCATTGGGGTGAGTGGGTTCCACTGGGTTTGGGTGGGATCCGCTGGGATGAATGGGATATACCAGGGTGGGTGGGATCTACCAGGATGGATGGGATTCGCTGGGATGGGTGGGATCCACTGCCAG